GAACAGAGGGAAAAATAAAACAAGATGAAATCAGAGAGGGAGACAAACCATAAGAAACTCTTAATCATAGGAAACAAACTGAGGCTCGCTGGAGGGGAGAGGGATCGAGGGATGGGGTAACTGGGTAATGGACATTAAAGAGGGCACGGGATGTAATGAGCACTGGGCATTATATAAGACTGATGGATCACTGACCTCTACCTCTGAAACCAATACTACATTATATGTTGATTGAATTTAAATTACAAAAAAATTGATGTAATAATTATTATATAAACCATATGCCAAGCTCGTAACAAAAAAACAAAAACATGACAGGAAATTCTCAGTGCCAGAAACAAACTGATAAATTGTAGCCCTCCCACGTTTTATACTTGGCTTTAGGGCTCAGGAGCCAGTAGCTGGGTTTCCGTGCACAAGCAGCACAAGGCCCAGAGCCTCAGTGAGGCAGAGGAATAGGAACTAAGCCCTCAGGTAAAACCTCGAGGCTTAAACAACTGCCAGTCACTGGGCCTGGAAAAATTCAACCTACTAGTCTGGGAAAGAGGCAAAGAAGTTTGTTCTTTGCTTGTGGCTTTGCATAGGGGTTAAAAACAAAAGGTACCTGTGAGAAATAAAAATCCCAGGCCTGCAAGATATAAATTTACAATATCTGCATAATTCAGGAACCACAAGCTGAGAAATAATCATTCACAAATGCCCCAGGATATTTAAGAGCCAAAGAACCCTGGCAGAAACAAATACATAACTGTTCTGAAGGGACTCTTTCACAACTCAGGGCATGAGAGACTCCCATTAAACAAAACAACCCCATCCCAGAACAGCACCATGGGAGGATATAAATCACTATGAGTACAATTCAGCAAATGTTGTAAACAGTAGAGTTGGGAACTCAAAAGCTGGAGTACCTGAAAGAGAAAATAAAGTTATTTTATTAAAGAGGCAAAATAATAGAAATTATGACGAAAGAATACACAAAGAACCAAACAGAACATGTAGTACTGCAAACAGTTTCATCATCGAAATGAAAATGAATGGGTCTGACCAGATCCCATAAGTGAATGAATATAGTCATCTCCTTTTCCATTCCTTATTTTTTAAAAATATTTTATTTATTCATGACACACACACAGAGGCAGAGACACAGGCAGTGGGAGAACCAGGCTTCATGCGGGGAGCCCAATGCGGGACTCGATGCCAGGACTCCAGGATCACGCCAGGAGCCAAAGGCAGACGCTCAACCAGCGTCCCACCATTCCTTATTTTGGATTATGCTCCGCTATATTTGTCAAACAGGTTACACTTGGTGTATTCAAAATGAGCTCCTGTGCAATACAATTTTACGATATGAACTTCCCGTCATTATGAATTCATTCCTTTGAACCCCAAAGTAATCTCAACAAAATGAATCAACCTTTCCTTACGTCTGCAGGGAAGGTAAAGTCCTTTCATTATTTCTTCTGTCCTAAATTGCCGGGAGAAAGGAATCACCTAGGTCTCAAGGGCTACTTTAGAAGTCTAAAATTAGAAATATGCACCCAGGAAAAAAAAAAAAAAAAAGAAATATGCACCCAGGGATAGAGGGTTCTTCCCAGTGCCCTGGAAGAGTAGACCAAATCTTTTTCCGAAGTCCTTCCTTATGGCTTTATCAGTATGTTTGTTGGTGCTGCTGCTTTGGACATAGGACTAAAAACTACCAGCCTGCCAATCTTGAACCTTTCACAAGATCCATGGTGATGAAACAAGAACACTGCTCTATTTTTATTACATTTACCCTATGGTCTATCCTTACTTCCAGCCCTTTTCTCTCCAAATTATGGAGGTATTAGTGGCTTTGTGCCTTGGTCTTCCCCACTTCCCTATGATCTCAGGAGGGGGCTATAAGTCAGCCGTTAGTTGTTTCCTCAAATCCATCCAATTTCACAGAAATTCCTTATGTACCTGGCATGCTGGAAGACTAAAACTGATATAGATCTCTCCCTTAATAAGCAATATTCATTTTAGGAAATAATTGCAATGTAGGTAGGTATGTATATTCTTTTAACAACTCAGAAGTGCTCATCCAGCAAAAGTGCATTTGCAGTTTTCATCCATCCGACTTAAATATATAAGCTAATTATTAAGGGCAAAGGCTAATAGTGTCCATTTTCACTCCTCAAAAATGTTCATTTTTCACAACCTGGTAAAACCCACTTCAGGGCTTGATGGCAAATTAAAATGCTCTACTCACAAAGTGATGAAGGGGACATAGTTGAGTGTAAATGTATGTTAAAATTGAATAGGTCATTTGCAACAACAGGGATGGAGTTAGAGTATTATGCTAAGCGAAGTAAGTCCGAGAAGGACAAATACCACATGATCTCACTTATACGTGGAATTGAAGAAACAAAACAAACCAGCAAAGATAAAAAAGAAAAAAAAAAAAGAGAAAGAGCAACAAATCAAGGAACAGACTCTCTACAGAGAGAGACCAAGAAAGAGACTCTTAACTAGAGGGAAAAAAAACTGATGTTTACCAGAAGGGAGGCAGGTGGGGGGACTGGGTTAAATGGGTAATGGGGATTAAGGAGGGCGCTTGTAAGCTCTGGGTGTTGTATGGAAGTGTTGAATCATTATATTATACTCCTGAAACTAATATCACATTGTATGTTAGCGATCCTGGAATTAAAAAAACTTAATAGAAAATCGAATAGAACCAATATAGGAGTTGTAGAATGTAGGGGGTGCAGGATTCAAGATAGACAAAGAGAAATACTTAGCTGTTAAAAGATGTGAGGCTAGTAACCACTGACATTACAGAAGGGGGTGGGATAGGAGAGTGAGTCTTTAGTAAATAAACCAAACCCCCCAAAAACCTTTTTTTGTTCCTTTATAAGTAGGGAAAGAATTTCAAAACTATAGGCCCATTCTCGGTAATTTTTGGTAGTTCCACTGGTGCCCAATGCTGCAAAGCCATTCTGGGCCAAAGAAAGACCTTTCTTTCGCTTTTCTTTCTTTTCCTTTTCTTTAAATTTTGTTTATTTATTTATTTATGATAGTCACAGAGAGAGAGAGAGAGAGAGAGGCAGAGACACAGGCAGAGGGAGAAGCAGGCTCCATGCACCGGGAGCCCGACGTGGGATTCGATCCCGAGTCTCCAGGATCGCGCCCTGGGCCAAAGGCAGGCGCCAAACCGCTGCGGGAGCCCGACGTGGGATTCGATCCCGAGTCTCCAGGATCGCGCCCTGGGCCAAAGGCAGGCGCCAAACCGCTGCGCCACCCAGGGATCCCCCCTTTTCTTTTTTCTTTTCTTTCCTTTCTCTTTCTTTCTTTTCTTTCTTTTCTTTTCTTTCTTTCTTTTCTTTTTTCTTTCTTTTCTTTCTTTTTCTTTCTTTCTTTCTTTTCTTTCTTGTCTTTCTTTCGAAAGACATTTTAAATACGTGGTATAACACAGGGACCGGCTGCACCGTGTTTTTCTGCATCACCTGGGGACAGTGCCCTCTGAAGCCGTCCTTCCTAAAGGACGGTTATTATCCGTATGCTCACCTCCGGGTGAAGTGGCCAGTTTGGTTAAGGACAGGACACGCTAATAAACACAGACCCGGTTACCAGCGGTACTGGATTCTGAACAGGAAGAGGACGGGTAGGTCACCACTCACGAGGACGCGCTGCGGGGCGGGACGCCCAGCCTCTCCGCTCACCTGTAAGAGGGGAACAACGTCACAGGTTTCAGAGTTGCTGCAGGATTTTAAAGCCCTGGGAACCCAGCCTGACACACTGAGGCTCAACAAATACTAGCTGTCGGGTTCCCAAAGAAACTCTCTGACATGCTGGCTCTGCCACCGTTTTGTAAGTGCAGGGAGCGGAACACCTGTTAGTCCTCCCCCTGCTGCCGGCCGCACAGCTCCCGGCGACGGCCAGTACCAACCTCCCTCCCCGACGCGAAATTTGAGATGAAAACGCCCGCCTGAAAACGCCCGCCAGGCTGGGGATGCCCGGGGGGGGGGGGGGGGGGGGGCTCAGCGGTTTGGCGCCAACTGCGGCCCAGGGCGTGACCCCGGGGTCCCGGGATCGAATCCCGCATCGGGCTCCCTGCGTGGCGCCTGCTTCTCCCTCTGCCTGTGTCTCTGCCTCTCTCTCTCTCTGTGTCTCTCATGAATAAATAAATAAAATTTTAAAAAGATTTTAAGATTTTTTAAAAGATTAAAAAAAAAAAAAAGCCCGCCAGGGTCCGGAGCGCGGAGGGGCGGAGCCAGAATGTGCCCCCCAGACCTCCCAAACTCCGCTCTCCCCCAGCCCCCAAAAAGCGCAGCCTCCCAATTTTGAGCCAAATTGGGTAAATTCTTTTTTTTTTTTTTTTAATTTTTATTTATTTATTTATGATAGGCACACAGTGAGAGAGAGAGAGAGGCAGAGACACAGGCAGAGGGAGAAGCAGGCTCCATGCACCGAGAGCCCGACGTGGGATTCGATCCCGGGTCTCCAGGATCGCGCTCTGGGCCAAAGGCAGGCGCCAAACCGCTGCGCCACCCAGGGATCCCCAAATTGGGTAAATTCTGAGGCTTCTGCAGGACCGCCCGCCTCCCCGCCTCCCCGCCTCCACGGCTCTACAACTACCCCGGCGTGAACCAGCGAGTCCCGCCAGGACCGCGGGACTCTGGGGGGCGGGGCTTCTGGGGGCGGGGCTTCTGGGGGGCGGGGCCTCCGGGCTGCCCGAGGCCAGATGGGGCCTGAACGGGGGCGGGGCCGGCGAAGCGCGAGGCCCCCAGGCTGCGGTGTGGGGCTGCCCGCGGGATGCCGGACGCCGGGCTCCACACAAGCCGCGTTCTCCTTTAGTCCTCAGGCCCCCGCCGTCGCACCCCCGGAGCTGCCAGCGTCGTGACGCCCTTTCCTACCTCCTGGTCGCTTTTACTGTTGGATGGGAGGGAAAAATGTAACCTCTAAGTCAGGCATCTCCTAGGCACCGGCCAATGCACTAGGCCGCGGAGGTGGGGTCCTTTGCTCGCGCCGAAATTCAAAGATATAAATATTTCCGGCCGGGTTGCGGAGCGCGGGCTGTGCGTCGTAGCCGCAATGTCGGGGTTTGCCTGGTAGCGCCCGAAAGCCCGGCGGAGTGGGCCGGCTCTGTGCTTTTGCAACCAGGAGTAGCTTCTAGGGCACCTGAAACCCGGGCGGCTTGGCGCGGCGGGGAGGCGGGTGCGTCCGCGCGGCAGGTGGGGCCTAGTCGGGCAGTCCCGGCTGCAGGGGAGGACGCGTGGTTTCTGTGTGGGCGCGGCGGGGGGGAGGAGACGGGTTCGCGAGAAGCGACCTGAAGCTAATGTTAGTCCTGCTGGGTTCCCCGGCGGAGTGGCTCCTTTCTCTCTAGCCCGGGAGGAGGGCAAACAGGTGTTGGTAGAAAGGCCTGGGGGGGGGCGCGGAGACACGCCGAGTGGGAAACAAGCTGGAGGGTATTGACTGACCCCCCCCACCCCCGCCCCCGGCGCCCTGGAGTCAGGCCCTGTTGGGGCCTAAGCGGTGGACATCAGCAAAGATCAATGGGAACTTGCAGCAAAGATCAATGGGTCTGGATAGACGAATACATACTGTTGAGTGTCATCTTGAAGTACGACGAAGGAAAAAGAGTGAGGGGGTGGGGACAGGTCCGTTTTTAAATGGGAAGGTCAAGAAAGAGCCCAGTAAAGTGACGTTTGAAGAAAGACGTGAGCATAGTAGAGGGGAGTGAGTCGTGTCAGTATCTGGGAACAGGGCACTACGGGCGGGCCAAGGGAGTGTGATGTGGAATAATCCGCTTCTGTTAGAGAATGATAAAGATGGGAGGTAAGCCTGGGGAAGGAAGTCGGTGACTTCCAGGTTGAACTAATGGTTTTAATCAACTTCCAACTGGTTAGATTGGAAAACGTGTCTTTTACATCCGAGGAAAGTCGCTGGGCAAGTGCCTGTTTTCTTTCTCTGGAAGCTGTCATCCTTCTGTTTTTTAGTCTTTCACGTACATTATGATTACAATTTCTGTTCCACTTCATGTTCTCTCTTTTGTATAGAGCTGCTTTGCGGCCTGTTTGATTCCCAGGAGAAGTTTTGCCTGTCCAGGTCACTAGTGACCATGCATGTCAAGTCCATCGTTCTTGAAGGATTTAAGTCCTACGCTCAGAGGACTGAAGTCAATGGTTTTGATCCCCTCTTCAATGCCATCACTGGTTTAAATGGTAGTGGGAAATCCAACATATTGGACTCCATCTGCTTTTTGCTGGGCATCTCCAACCTATCTCAGGTAAACTTTCTGATGTACGGGAATCTTAAGTTTGGGGGAGTCTCGAGGGAGCCCACATTGAACAGAGAGACTGTATTGCTAGTATCTCTTCATTTGCATTTTGAGCAAGTTTTATGCAAATCATTATACCTCACCGCAGTCCTTTAGAGGTAGATGTTATTACTCCACTTTTTCGGTGAGAAAACAGAACTTTTGGGTTGCTTGAGGTTCATTTCCTTAAGATGTTTGGAGCAACACTCAAACTCAGGCGTTGTTTAACGCAGCCTTGGTCCAGAGTCTGGATTCCTACCCATTCACTCTGCATCTGAACGGTGAAATTCTTAGATGCTGTCTTCCTGAATCTTTCAAATGAACTTCAGTTAAGAAATTAGTAGAAAACAATTCAATGCAGGGTTGGAAGAGTCCTGTGGAGAAAGGCACTCATTTTAGGTGGTTTCCCATTTTCCTTTCCTTGCTTCTGAATGCAACTGTCCCTCAGCTACTTAGCAGATGCTACATGGGTGCTTTTCCAACAGCAAGTAACCCATTTTTAATGCCTTTTTGTGCAGTATGGGGTTTTGTAGTTGATAAACTTTTCTTTTGTTTTAGGTTCGGGCTTCTAACTTACAAGATTTAGTTTACAAAAACGGGCAGGCTGGTATCACCAAAGCCTCAGTGTCAATCACATTTGATAATTCTGACAAAAAGCAAAGTCCTTTAGGATTTGAGGTTCATGATGAAATAACAGTAACAAGGCAGGTGAGTGGCTACAAAATATTTGGATACTTAAGAACTTATATCTGACCTGTTTTTTTGGCAATACGACTTTACTGGCAAAGTTGATGAGCAAATTGATCAAATAGACTCGACCTCTTAAGAATGTCTTCCTTATTTTAAAAATTTAATCATGCAAATTCCACCATTTACCAAGAGGATTGAAAGGGATCTGGAAACCTGTCAGTCAGTACAGGCACTCAGCTGTGCTTAAATCTTGAACCGTATTTGAATCTTCTCTGCTGGGATACCTATACTTGGGATCTTGTTACCTTCTGAGGTAACCTACTCTGTTATTGGGCAGGTCTAATTAAAAAGTTATTTCTATAAAATGAGCCAAAGTATTATCATCAAGTTTTACATATTAAATCTGGTTCTTTGAGATCATAATCCATATTTTAATATTTCGGTTTAATATTGAGGTGTTAAATATTTAAGCTAAATCTTTCTAGATCTTTCAACTGATAAAATTGTTTCTATTTCCTTCACTTGTCTGATTCCACTGAATACAAATTTGCGCTAGGTTTTTTTGCCTTTATTTCATGCATGGCGCCTTAAATTACATTTACCAGGATTAGTCTCTTTAGGACAGGATTAAGCAGAATTGTCACTTCATTTTAAGTGCGATTCTCTTTTCCCCTATTTGACATTGGAGAGTTCACAATACATTATGAATTCAAATCCAACTTACTTAAAAATCACTGTAATTTTTTAAATGTGTATTAGCTGTGTTACTGCCATTTCTATTTGTAAGCAGGTTTTTGAAACCAGTGCAGGACCAGACCTTTGTCCCTTTATCTTGTTATAGTCATACAATGTTCCTTTGTCAGTTTTATTTTTAAAAATTCTGTTAAGTCCTGTTTATTCTCTACGTTAGCATTATGTAGCTTATAGATTCTGCTTTCTTTTTTAATAAAAACCTCTGGTTAAGAAAAAATAAGGCATTGACTAGGTTGGGATAAAGTCCTGTTCTGTGTCATTAAGCATCCATCAGATACCTTTTAGGAATTTTCATAAGTCTTCTACTAATCTACCTAAAATTCCTGTCCTCATGCAGTCCATATGCCTTTATTTTCACCAAAATTTTGTTATAGGGATTTTAAAAAATATTTATACTACATTTCTTGTTTAAATATATTAATATATGATCTATTAGCTTAATACTCCTGTCAAGAAAAGAAATGAATTAACACTCATCCAGTAGTTTGCTGTGTGCTGGGCATTCTTAAAGGCACTGGGAAATACAGAGAGAAAAACGAGCAACATCTTTTTAAGGACCTCAAATTACTGAGGATGACATGGTTATGTCCATTAAGTGACAGTATAAGGGCTATAGTACAGTGTGAACAAGCTGGTGTCTGGTAGAAGTTGTTCTTTGAAGCTCTGTGGTTACTCTTTTTCTTTCAAGAATTCAAAAGTCATGTCTTTATTAACTCCTTTTAGAATCTCTCAAGGATTGTTATCAAACTGCTTATCTTTGGGGCATTTGGGTGGCCCAGTCGGTTAAGCATCTGACTCTTGATTAGGGGTCGTGATCTCAAAGTTGGGAGATTGAGCCCCCTTGTCGGTCTCCCTGATGGGCATGAGGCCTGCTTAAGAGTCTCTCTCTTTCCTCTTAAAAAAGAACTGTTTGTCTTTAGTTTTTAGTATCTACGTTCTGTTCTTTGGAAATTAAAAAGTGGAGGAAAGAAGGGTTAACCTCTGAGGGTGGAAAAATTACAGAGAATGATCATGTGTAGAATATGAAAGACTCCTAACTCTGAGAAAAGAACTAGGGGTGGTGGAAAGGGAGGTGGGCAGGGGTTGGGGGTGACTGGGTGGCGGGCACTGAGGGGGGCACTTGATGGGATGAGCACTGGGTGTTTTTCTGTATGTTGACAAATTGAACACCAATAAAAAATTTATTAAAAGAAAAAAAAAGAATATCATTTCACATGTACTTGAAAACAAAGTCAGAAGTGACCTTAGAGATCTAGTCCAATGCAGGGGAGGTTAGGAGGATTGTGCATGGTTATATAATCCAAAAGTCCTTGGATTAGAAGTCGGTTATCTTGACTCAATCTATAGTCAAAATTTTGGCCACCTCCTACATCCTCCGTTATTTACTTAGGATTGGTTTTATTTACCATTTGTTGGACAGAAGAAACAAGTGAAACATATTTGGGAATTTGTCATCTTAGTTCAAGATACGTGTGTTCATTTATATGTTTAAAAATACTTCCCTTTTAGGTGGTTATTGGTGGTAGAAATAAATATTTAATCAATGGAGTAAATGCAAACAATTCCAGAGTACAAGATCTCTTCTGTTCTGTTGGCCTTAATGTAAACAACCCTCACTTTCTCATCATGCAGGTATTTTGTTTATGGTCTTTATATAATAGTTTTGACATTGTTTATTTTAATAGGACAAGTGTTTCATTTTGGCTTTTCCATTTTTTATTTTCTGTTGTACTGGTATTTGGGTACCTGTTAAGAAGTATGTATTAGTTATGTGTATTGATATATTCTAACATACACATTTGAAGTTTAAAGAATGTCTAGAAGTAATTTTCTTTGACTTATTTTGTTATTACAAGAATAATACATGGTCACTATAAGAATGTATTAATTTATTGTTAAAGATTTTATTTATTTATTAATAAGAGACACAGAAGCAGAGACACAGAGGGAGAAGCAGGCTCCATGCAGGGAGCCTGATGTGAGACTCGATCCTGGGACTCCAGGATCACACCCTGGGCTGAAGGCAGTGCTAAACCCCTGAGCCACCCAGGGATCCCCTATAAGAATTATTTAAAGTATATTGTCATAATGTATTCTTTCAGAGTATTGGGTTGAAGCATTTTATTATTTCAAATATATATTAAATTTTAAGTAATTTCCTTCCTGAGAGACTTATTCAAATGAAAAATAAGTGCTAATATTTTCTTGCCTTTATATTATCTCACTCGACTTATCCTGCAAGGTCAATGGCATGATCCTGATGTGACCAAAATAACTTTATTTTTAACTACATCACAGCCTTAAAGCTTAAAATTTCTTTTAAATGAATCTAAATCCTTGGGATGCCTGCGTGGCTCAGTGGTTGAACGTCTGCCTTTGATTCCGGGTGATCCCAGATTCCTGGGATGGAGTCCCACTTTAGGCTCCCTAAATGGAGCCTGCTTCTCCTCCCTCTGTCTGTGTCTCTGCCTCTCTCTCTCTGTTTCTCTCATGACTAAATAAAATTTAAAAAAATAATAATAATCTAAATCCTAAGTAATATTATGCTCTGAGACTTAGGTAGTGGGGTTTTGTCTTGTTTTTTTTTTTAGTAGTTATATTCTGGCATTGAAATAAAAGATTTTACAATTCTTTTTGAGGCTCACAAATGTGCAATCTATTTCTAGAAATTATCTTGGAGTGTAGCCTTTAAAAAAAAGACATGTTAAACAATTATGCTAAAATTTATATATTTATATACTTATTGGACACTTTTATATCATTAATATTGCCTCAGAAATACGGTCTGAGTTAATTTCATATTTTTTAATAAGCATATCACTGGTAAGTGAAAAGGTAATTGGCAAAATTATGGAATTATAAGGTACCTTTGGTCTCAAATATAATAAAAGAAACATCTTTTCATGTAGATTAAAGAAAGAACTCCTAAAAGATTGGTATATTAGGATGGAACAGCTTCAGTGAAGATAAACATGTAGGCCTTTAGGTAGGTGATTAATTTATCATTATAGTAACTGCCATTTTATTTTTCAGGGCCGAATTACAAAAGTATTGAATATGAAACCTCCAGAGGTAAGGATGCTATTTGTGGACAGTAAAAATTATAATTGTGGATAGTGTTTTAATCTTTTAAATCAATTTTTAAAAATTTCTTCCATTAAAATTCTTAGAAACATTATTGATTTAAAAGTGACCAGTAAAGAATTTTTTTTTAAGCTATTTGGCGCTATACCTCCCCACCCGTTTTTTTTTTGTTTGTTTTTTTAAGATTATATTTATTCTTGAGAGACACAGAGAAGCAGAGACATAGGTAGAGGGAGAAGCAGGCTCCTTGGGAGCCTGATGCAGGACTTGATCCTAGGAGTCCTGGGTCACGACCTGAGCCAAAGGCAGATGCTCAACCACTGAGCCACCCAGGTGCCCTACCACTTCACCTTTTTAAAGCTGTATAACATAACCCTTCTGATTCTTTGTTTCCTTATCCATAAATTAGAGTTAGTAGTCCATACCTCAGGTCTTCTCTGAGGATTAAATGAGAATGTATAAGAAAATGCCTGGGACATTGGGGCGCAGATTTTTTTTTTTTTTTTTTTAATAGAGGTAGAAGTGGCATATTAGTTGGTATGCGATGTAGTGATTAAACATATGTAGATGTTGCAAAATGATCCTTATAAATCTAGTTAACATCCATAACCAGTTACAATTTTCTTTTTCTTAGGATAACTTTTAAGATTTACTTTCATAGTAACTTTCAAATATACAATACAGTATTATTAATTAAGGTCCTATGCTGTAACATGGTGACTACCATGGACTTTTATAACTGGGAGGTTGTACCTTTTCACCTGTACCCATTTTGCCCACCCACTAACTCCCATCTTTGGTAACCATGAGTATGTTCTCTATAAGCTCAGGGTTTTTTTTTTTTTTTTCTTTTTTTCTTTTTAGATTCCACATATAGTAAGATTATATGGTATTTGTCTTTCTCTGACTTATTTCACTTAGCATAATGCCCTCAAGTTCTATCCACATTGTCACAAATAGCAAAATTGCATTCTTTTTTAAATAGCTTTATTATATGCCATTGTGTATATATGTATATACGTCACATCTTTTTATTCATTTATCTGTCAGTGGACACTTAGGTTGTTTCCATGTCTTGGTATTGTAAATGAGGGTGCAGATACCTTTTCAAGTTAGTACCTTTGTTTTCTTTGGATAAATAGCCAGAATGGAATTGCTGGATTACATGGTAGTTCTATTTTTAGTTTTCTGAGGAACCTTCATAGTTTCCTATAATGACTGCACCCAACTTACATTCCTACCAACAATATGTAAAGTTCCTGCCAACAATATGTAAAGGTTTCCCTTTCTCCATAGCATCACCAGCACTTGATATTTCTTGTCTTTGTGATAATAGCCATTCCAACAGAGGGAGTAGCTCATGGTTTTAATTTGCATTTCCTAGATAATTAGTGATGTTGAGTACCTTTCACATACACATTGGCCATCTGTGTATGTCTTCTGTGAAAAACTGTGTTGACATCCTCACATCCCGTTTTTAAATTGAATTGTTTGGTTTTTCTTCTTTTGAGTTGTATATACAAATTCTTCATGTATTTGGATGTTAGACCCGTAGCAGATTTGTGATTTACAACTATTTTTTCCCGTTCATAGGTTACCTTTTCATTTTGTTTATGATTTGATTTGCTATGCAGAAGGTTTTTCAGTTTGATATAGTTTTTGCTTTTGTTGCCTTGGCTTTTGGTGTCAAATCTAAAAAAATCCCCACAGTGACAAATATCAAGGAATTTATTAACCAGTGTTCTAAGAATTTTATGTGCCCAATGACTGTATCAAGCAGCCCTTCTCAACCATTGTTCCATGTCAGACTTAAACCCTACAGAAAAAGAGTTGAGTGAAATTAATTCATTACATACAGTGGATTGCTTAGGGTATTCATACTTAATTTTAATTTTTTTCTTGAAACCCCCTTGAAAGAGTTGGTATGAAGGAATAAGTGTTTTGTACAAGAACAAAAGTTACTCTTTTCTGTTGAGAAGAACTAAGAGAAAACTGATAATTGATAACACTGGTCTGTTCTGAACCTATAGGTTATGCATATCTTCTTTAGATAACATTTTAAGGGGAAACTTCTAATTTGAAACCTAACAAATACATAGAAATCAAAAAAGTTTTGAGAGAAATAATCCTCTAGAGATAAGACTTGATTATGAATAGAAGCCTCTGAAAAAGAAGTGCTGGCAAAATTGTTCTACTTATAAAATTGTAATTGATTAGTATTTACCTTTTTCAGAGTGCTTTTCACATAAATTACTTTGTGTAATTCTCAACAGTATTGTGACATACTAAGTATCCTATGGGTGAAAAAACTGGCATAACAAATTAAGTTACTTGCCCAAGTTCTTAGAGCAAGTGCCATGGTTGGGATGCATATGTTATGTCACACTTCATCCTGTTGTCAGAAAGGATTACTCTAAAGCGACAACTGAATGTTGTTAGCCTTTACTTTTTTTAGACTTATATTTGAAGGAAAAGAGAGAGGAGTTACTGGCTTTAATTTTATTTTTAAATTTTTATCTTTAGATAATCTCTATACCCAATGTGGGGCTCAAACCCACAATCCCAAGATCAACAGTCACATGCTCAGCCAACTGAGCCAGCCAGACATTCCTGGCTTCAATTTTAAAAGAGTTTTTACTCTACATCCTCAGTGTAGCATGAAGTTTGATTTTTAGGTTGGCGTAAAGGCCAGAAAAGTTTCTTGAATGTTAAGGCTGTGGGGAATACACGCATTTGTATGTACTTCTTTGATCCATTTGGGGCATTATTTGGTAAGAGATTTAGAGAATCTCTAAATGTTAAGGCTGTGGGGAATACACGCATTTGTATGTACTTCTTTGATCCATTTGGGGCATTATTTGGTAAGAGATTTAGAGAAGTTAAGACCTTAAATGATATACTTAATGTAAACTCAAATGAAGTTCTTTATCTTGGATTCTTAAAACATTAATGTAATTGTCTTTCTAGATTTTGTCCATGATAGAAGAAGCAGCTGGAACCAGGATGTATGAATACAAAAAAATAGCTGCCCAGAAAACTATAGAAAAAAAAGAGGCTAAGCTGAAAGAAATTAAGACGGTAATTAAATTTACATAAAATATTTTTAAATATGAAAGTAATTTTAGAGTTTCTGTACTGCAAAGAGGAAATTCCCTCTCCCAGTTTTTCCTCAGACTTCATGGTACTTTCCTTTCAAATTTTTTTAATGGTACTTTACATACTGAAAAATTTGATTTTCCTTTATTTTCCAGATACTTGAAGAAGAGATTACTCCAACCATTCAAAAATTAAAAGAGGTATATACTGTATAGAGGATTGCCAGCTAGAATGTCTCAAAATTGGTGACGGTATTTAAGATCATACAAATAAAGATGAAATGTGTGCCACAGGAATTTTTCTGTAGGATGAAGTAAGGAGTTAAAGAGTTGATATTTGATCATCAGCCTTCTGCTTGTAGAAGACATGTTCTGCATATCTATTAATCATAATGATTTCAGAGATCACTGGTGATCCCAGAAAATGATATGCCAATCATTTTGTAATGATTCGTAATGATGTAATACTTTGTTGGAGAGAAGTCTAGACTTTCTGAATAATTAGAATTGAGTGGGACATTTCTTGAGGTTATGACATTCATAATACTCCTGCTGGTAGAGTGAATAGCTTCTAGGATAATAGAGGCTATCACTGTAATTATTGCTATCAAGACAGTTGGTAAGTGAAGGGAGCTGAAACATGTCCAGGTTTTTTCTATAATTTTTAAAGTTTCTGATGCCATCAGCGTTTCAGTGAAAAAATGCATTGAGGGCGTATTGATTTTAAAGTTGTCCTTTGGGACACCTGGGTGGCTCAGCAGTTGAGTGTCTGCCTTTGGTTCAGGTTTTGATCCCGGAGTCCCAGGATCGAGTCCCGCATCGGGCTTCCTGCATGGAGCCTGCTTCTCCCTCTGCCCGTGTCTCTGCCTCTCTCTATGTCTCTCATGAATAAATAAATAAAGTCGTTAAAAATAAATAAAGTTGTGCATTTAGGAATTCATTAAATGTTCATTAAAATTCAGTACTACTCAAAGTTGTATTCTGAATCCATATAGTATTGTGGATGTTATTGGAAGGACTGAATAGTGATCTTGAAGGTATCCTGTTTATAGGCATGTTTTAGTAGAAAACACTAAATCAGAGTGAATTTATTTTTTTAAAAAAGATTTTATTTGAGAAAGAGTGCACACGAGAGCACAAGCAGGGGGAGAGGGATAGAGGGGGAAGCAGACTCCCCACCAAACAGGGATGCCCAGGACCCTGGGATCATGACCTGAGCTGAAGGCAGACCCTAGTCAACTGAGCCACATAGGTGCACCTAGATCATGAGTTTAAACCTGGGTTTTGAGCAGCCTGGGTGGCTCAGCGGTTTAGCACTGCCTTTGGCCCAGGGCGTGATCCTAGAGACCTGGGATCGAGTCCCATGTCGGGCTCCCTGCATGGAGCCTGCTCCTCCCTCTGCCTGTGTCTTCTCTGCCTCTCTCTCTGGGTCTTTCATGAATAAATACATAAAATCTTAAAAATAAATAAATAAACCTAGGTTTTACACCCAATTTTGCAAAATTCATTCTGAATATGACATTAGAGAGGTCATTTAACTACACCGAGTTCATTTCTTCATCTGTAAGTTACAGAGATTTTCATTATTACTCTGTCTACCCTAGCAGGTCCTTAATGGAATCAAGTTAGTAATGTGTAAGCATATGTTTATAAATAAGTTACATAATTGACTGTTGGGTAGGTATCTTGGTAATACTACTACAAAATACATGTAATAGTGTATCATTGGTGGTTGTATAGGTCATACTGATAAACTACTACCCTCAGTTTATGAACCTTTTATCTACATTTCTTTGTTAATCCCAACTGCCTGATTATATATTAGAAGAAATAGCCACATAGGATTCACTGGTGATGGTATAATGCTATTTGAAAAGCCACTAATGTTTAAGTTTCTATAATCCATGATCACTAACTTAAGATGAAATCTATTATGGGAAGTTTTATACATGTTGCTATAGTTTGAGTCTTTCTAAATTTGTTGAAAAATATGAAGGTTGAGTTATACTTTATTGGTGATTTCTTTTCCAGGAAAGATCTTCTTACTTGGAGTACCAAAAAATAATGAGGGAAATAGAACATTTGAGTCGTTTATATATTGCTTATCAGTTTTTGCTGGCTGAAGATACAAAAGAACGCTCAGCTGAGGAGTTAAAAGAAATGCAAGATAAAGTTGTAAAGCTTCAAGAAAAATTGTCTGAGAATGACAAAAAAATAGAAGCACTTAGTCATGAAATAGAAGAGTTGGAAAAAGGAAAAGATAAGGTCAGACATACATAAGAGGAGATGATATACTGTAAAAAATTATGTATAGTAACTAAGGTTCGCTGGATGTAGTCTTCCATATTGATTTGTTAATCTTTATGATAAGCTTATAAAAAGTCAGTCTTCTTGAAGTCCTGTAAGAAAATGATGGCATGAGTAAATTATAAGGACTTTGATTGATTTGGATCCATTTGATTATAGGAAATTGGAGGTAAACTCCGATCTTTAGAAGATGCTCTTGCAGAAGCTCAGCGAGTTAATACTAAATCTCAAAGTGCCTTTGATCTCAAGAAGAAAAATCTGGCAAGTGAAGAGAACAAACGCACAGAGCTAGAAAAAAATATGATTGAGGTAAATAAATACGAAGTTCAGTAAATATGAAGTCCATTTCATTAATATTTATTGCTTGTGTGTGCTATGGACCAAGTGCAGTTGTTTGGGCTACAGATAGAGCAGTGGACAAAATGACAGATTGGACCAGTGCCTTTTGGGTCTTCATTCCAATGAGGAAAATGATGATAAAATAGGTGAAATATATAGTGTGTTATATAGTGATAAGTGATTTGGAGAAAATGCAGGGGAGAGTTTTAGGAATATAAAGGAGGTGGGTACAGTTAGGAATTTTTAAATTGGGTAACCACTGGAGATCTCATTGAGAGGGTGATATTTCATTAATAAAACCTGAAGGAAGTCAGAGAACCATGAAAATAAATTGGCTCTGGGGGAAGATGTACCAGTAGCAGTTGTCCCAGGTACCTACGGTATTAGAAATAAAAATGCAGGGAGACTAATTGTGGCCAGTTAGCACTAAGTAGGAATACAGAAAGGTAAAAGCGCAATCAACATGATTTTATAAGACGTGAAAGACTCTGATCTTTATTCTGAGTGACTTGGGAAGCTACTGTAGCTGGCTAAGAAGAGAAGAACAAGATTTTTTATATTTTAATAGTACTTTCATGGTATTTAGAGAATAATATAAAGATAAGGGGAAGAAGCAGGTAATTCAGGTGGTAGGTGCCAATGATAGCTCTAGGATAAGTGTGGTATAAATGGGTGTATTGAGAGAAATTATAGGATTTTATGAGTATTTTTAAGGGTAGGTCCAATAAGGTAGTCCAGACAGATTGGTTGCTGAAAGTGGAAGAAAGGTCTGACAGATACTGAAGATTTTTGTCTTTGACAATTGGAAATAGCATTACCATTAGCTTAGTGGAAAATAGAAGTACACTGTGAACATAATAAGCTTGAGGTGCCTGTTAAACTAAGTAGAGATGTTGATTAGGTGGTTGAATATAGGAATATTGAATCTGATCTAGAGAGACAAATCTAAATACAAATGTTGGCATGCCCCAGGGCTTGTGCTCAAACTTCTTTTATATGCACTCATTTCTTAGGTAGTTCCATCCAGCCTGATAGCCCTAAAACACCATCTGCATGGTGATGTTCAGATCTTTAACTAAACTTGACTCCCTGAATTCTATATTTATTTGTCCAGCTATTTGATTGACACTTATACATAGATAGACAAAGAGTCTAAAACTTAATGTATCCAAAATAAAATTTTTAAGTTTTCCCTAACTACCCAAACCTTTTTCAATACTGAATTTTCCCACGTCAGAAAATGGCACCACTGTTAACCTAATTGTTGGATCTAGAAATTAGAGTCCTCCTGCATTCTCCCTTTTTTCTCAAACTCTGTCAGAAAATTCTCCTCACTTTAATAAAAGTACATCCTTAATACAGCCACTTTTCATCACCTCCATCACTGCTAACCTGTAGGCCATCACCTCACAAGAGGGATGCTGTAATGGAGTCCTTACCACTTGCCCTGCTTTTACTCCTGCTGCTCTACAGTCTGTTCTTCACAGAAACTGAAATATAAATTGGATCACATCGCTCTTGGGCTTAAAGTTCTTTAATGTTTCAATGTCACATATATAATGAAATTCAGCCTTTACCACCTTTACCATGGTCCACAAGACTGTACATGTTAGGACTTCTGGCACCTTTCCACTCGGTCACTTTGCTCCAACCACAATTCCTCAAACATCCAAGCATATTCTGCAGAGCTTGCGTAGTTGTGTCCCCCTAGCATCAGCATGATCACTCCTTTTATTTCATGTAGGTTTCTGCTCAAAATGTCATCACAAAAAGGCCTTCCCTTATTCTTCTTAAAATAGTAGTTCCCATCACTTTCTGTCCCTTGCTTTATTTTTTACTATGTCTTCCCCTCTAGAATATAGGGTCCCTTGAAGACCTGTGTCTTTAATGTCTAGAATAATGCCCAGTAGATGTTAAATATCTAATATTTAATGAATCATGAGCTAAACATGTAGGCCAAAATTTTTGGTCACTTTCATGTAAATAATATAGCTGGATTCCCCGCCCACTGCCCCAGGCTGTTATCTTACTGTATATGGTGTTTTAGTGTATATAACTTAAACGGTATTAAGTATTAGTAATGCCGTTCACACAAGTATTTAATATTTAAATTTTATGGCTTTTGATAGTTTATAAATTTTCACGTACATGTTCTTAGTCCTACAATCTTCACTTTGAAGCTTGGAGTAGAATAGTTCTTACTTTTTTAGAGCTCTAGAAAGTTATTTTTTAGTTTCTTCAAATGACTGGTTTGTGCTATTATTTAACTAATTTCTGGATTAGATTGTAGCATGTGGAATAAAAGTATTTCTGGTAGTATAAGGGTACATTTATCCCAAAAACAGAGAGGGTGAATTGAAAAATGGAAATAAAGCTTTTAAAGTTAGGATGGTTAAATTATTTTCCTTTTAACCATGCCCACTTCAGAATGCTTTGAAATTTGATGACATAAGGGCATAGGTATATAAGAAAAAATGGGAATCTTTCCTAAAACATAATATTTTCCAATCTGAAACTCTTCCTGAAGGATTCTAGAACTTTAGCAGCAAAGGAAAAAGAGGTTAAAAAGATAACAGATGGGCTGAATGCCCTTCAAGAAGCAAGTAATAAAGATGCTGAAGCTTTGGCTGCTGCACAGCAGCACTTCAATGCTGTTTCCGCTGGATTGTCTAGTAATGAAGATGGAGCAGAAGCAACTCTTGCTGGTCAAATGATGGCCTGTAAAAATGACATAAGTAAAGCTCAGACAGAAGCCAAACAGGTAAATAGAGACATTAATGATTGTGTGATTGCTTTTTTTTTTTTTCTTAAGAAGCTGCTATGCTTTGACAGTTGTTATAAAATGTTGAAAATAATCAGATCGATGTCAAGGAATTTGTTATCTTGCTGCTTTATAGCACCTAATGAAATTAGGTGTTTTATAGCACAATGAAATTCAAATATGTTAACTGCTAAATATTGATGACAATAGTTTGAGATGCTATAACATTAAATACCCTCCTAGATTAGTTGAAATTGTAAATGCAATAAATGCTTTATTCTATTTGTAGTATTATATGGAATATTTGAGGTTAATTAGTTTGTTTTCGCTGTTTTAGTGGCAACATAAAATCACAGTCTTAAGCTCTAACAAGACAACAAACATCTGCCCAATTCTGTGCCCCCACACTTAGTCCTTACCTTTCATCCTTGAGGTTATCTCTACCTCCCTCTTAGCCTTTGTAGTCTTCCATTTCCCTACACTGATTTCATAATCTTCAAAGCTTGTCATTCAGGCTTTCAAATTTGTTTAGATAGTTGTACAGCTTTTAAAGTCCTATACGTGCAAGAGTTTTGAGGGCAGAAAGAAAAAAATATATTTTTTCACACATTATATTTTAAAAGAAGACTCCTCTTTAAAAATACAGATGTTTGTGTCTGTGTCGTATTACTCCTGTTCAACATTTCTGTTATGCATTTGCAACTTTTCCATTCAAAGATGATGGTCACAAGAAATTTGTAAGAGATCAATAACAAAAAAACTTGCTGGTCCTCTCAGATTTTCTGTAACTTACTATATATTGGGAAAAGTCCACCATTATTCAGTCTCGGATGACACATCCAGTTCGATCTCAGAATATGAGTTCATGCTTTTAAGGAACAGTCCTTAGTTATATAAACTAGCATTTGAATATCAAACTCCTGGCATTGAAATTTCTCTTGTTAGTTTCCTGTTCCAGTTGAATTTTCTTATTGCTCAATACAGTTTCTCCATTGTTAATTGAACAACACTCAAAAATACACAAATAACAAACGGGCATACGTAAATGGAAAGGAAGAGAACTAGTGTTCTGATTACTAGATTTCTGTTGTGTTTTTAATTTAACAGCTAATGGCAATTATCCTTCAATATAATTTTTGAACTCAGTAATGTCATCTTTTAGAAGTATTAAAAAATGGACTTAAATTATAAGTAATGACTTATGTTAAGCATTTATTTGTTTAGACTGAGTTGTTTTCTGAGGAGAAAATACTGGGAAATGATTCATCTCTTGAAATATTAATGCAAGTCACCTAATAGTTACATTTTAAGTCTGATGTTTCTTAAACCAATCTGCATCTATGGTCATTTAATCACTAGCACTATCTGCCTCAAATAGTCTATTAAATTTTCAATAACAGGCTCAGATGAAGTTGAAACATGCCCAACAAGAATTAAAGACTAAACAGGCTGAAGTTAAGAAGATGGATAGTGGCTACAGGAAAGATCAAGAAGCTTTAGAGGCTGTGAAGAAACTTAAAGAAAAACTAGAAGCCGAAATGAAGAAGCTAAATTATGAAGGTTTGCATTTAAACACCTGATATTAAATCATTAGGAGGCAGTGATTGTTGATAGAAACTAAATTAGGGATGTCTGGGTGGCTCAGTGGTTGAGCGTCTGCCTTTGGCTCAGGATGTGATCTCGGAGACCCCGGATCAAGTCCCACATTGGGCTCCCTGCATGGAGTCTGCTTCTCCCTCTGCCTGTGTATGTCTGTCTGCCTGCCTCTCTCCCTCTCTGTCTCTCATGAATAAATAAGTAAAATCTTAAATAAAAATAAAAATAAATAAATAAATAAATAAAGGAAATAGCAAGTAGGATTTTTTTTTTTACTCTATTAATGGATGTTAGAATAAGTATTTATAAAACAGTTGATCCCTGAACCTAAGTTTGAACTGCATGAGTCTACTTGAGACTTTTTTTTTTTAAATAAATACAACTGGGTATTATAAATGTATTTTCCTTACAATTTTCTTTCTTTCTATTTTAAATATTTTATTTATTCATGAGAGACAGAGGGAGGCATAGACATAGGCAGAGGGAGAAGCAGGCCCCCTGCAAGAAGCCTGATGTGTGGGACTCGATTCCAGACTCAGGGATCACGTCCTGAGCCAAAGGCAGACACTCAAATGCTGAGCCACCCAGGTGTCCCTCCTTACAATTTTCTGTAGCTTACTTAACTGTAAAATACAACATATAATGCATATGACATAGAAAATATGTGTTAACCATTTATCTTATCAGTAAAGCTTCTTGTCGATGTTTGGCTCATTAAGTTTGAGGATCAAAAGTTAAACACAGATTGAGGGGTATCTGCTTCAGTTGGTAGAGCATACAGCTCTTGATCTCAGGGTTGTGAGTTCAAAACCTGTTTTGGGCCAGAGACTACTTAAAAAAAGTTAAACATGGATTTAGAACTTCATGGGAGAGGGGTGTCAGTGCCCCAACCTCTCCCCGCAATAACCATCCCATTGTTTAAGGGTCAACTAAGTATAAAACAGCTGTTTTGTTTTGTTTTGTTTTGTTTTAAATCCCAGTATATTTAACATACAGTGTTATATTAGTTTCATGTGTACAGTGTAGAGATTCAACAATTCTATACATTACTCCGTGTTCATCATAAATGTACTGTTAAACCACTTGTTTCATTTCACCCCTCCCCTTATTACCTCCCCATCAGTTTAACTATAGTTAGGAGTGTTTTTTTGGGGATACCTGAGTGGCTCAGTGTTTGGTTTGGCTCAGGGCATGGTCCCAGGGTCTTGGGGTCAAGTCCTGGATTGGGTTCCCCACAGGAAGCCTGCTTCTCCCTCTGCCTATGTCTCTGCCTCTCTCTGTCTCTCATGAATAAGTGGATAAAATCTTTTTAAAAAGTGGTTTTTTGGTTTGTCTCTCTTTTTCCTTATTTGTTCTTTTGGTAAATTCCACTGGAGTGAAATCATATGGTAATTGTCTTTTTCTGATTGAATTATTTCACTTAGCGTTATACTCACCAGATTCACCAATGTTGCAAATGGAGAGATTTCATTCTTTTTTGTGGCTGAGTAATATTCTATTGTCTGTCTATACTATATGTTCTTTATTCATCTATTGATAGAAACATGGACTGCTTCCATAATTTGGCTATTGCAAATAATTCTGCAGTAAACATAGGAGTGTGTATTTTTTTTTTAATTCATGTTTTCATTCTCTTTGGGTAAATATCCAGTATTGGAATTATTGGATTATATGATAATCCTATTTTTACTTTTTTGAGGAACCTCCATACTGTTTTCCAAAGTGTTTACACTATTTTGCATCCCCATCAACAGTGCACAAGTGTTCCTTTTTTCCACATCCTTGCTACCACTTGTTGTCTCGTGTTTTTTTATTTTAGTTAGCTATTCTGATAGGTATGAACTAATATCTCATTGTGGTTTTGATTTACATTTGCCTGGTGATGAGTAATGTTGAGCATCTTTTCATGTGTATGTTGGCCATCTGTATGTCTTCTTGCAGAAATGTCTATTTGTCTTCTGCCCATTTTTAACTGGATTATTTATTTTTTTAGTGTTGAGTTGTAGAAGTTCTTTACATATTTTAGATACTAGCCTTTAATGGATATATCATTTGCAAATACCTTCTCCCATTCCATAGATTGTCTTAATTTTGTTGGCTGTTTCCTTTGCTGTACTGAAGCTTTCTATTTTGACATAGTCCCAATAGTTTATTTTTGCTCTTGTTTCCCTTGCCTTAAAAGATCTATCTAGAAAAATGTTGTTATGGCCAGTATCAGAGAAATTATTGCCTGTGCTTTCTTCTAGGATTTTTATGGTTTTAAAAAAGTCTCACATTAGGTCCTTAACCCATTTTGAGTTTATTTTTGTTTATGGTGTAAGAAAATGTCCAGTTTCATTCTTTTGCAGACAGCTGTCCAGTTTTCCTAGCGCCACTTGTTGTAGGGGCTTTTTCCTACTGTATATTCTTTCCAGCTTTGTCAAAGATTAATTGACCGTATAATCATGGGTGTATATGGGGGTTCTCTTTTATATTTCATTGATCTATGTGTCCACTTTTGTGCCTGTTATGAATACTGCATCTTTATAGTATATCTTAAAATTTATGATTGTAATACCTCCAGTTTAGTTCTTTTTTTTTTTTCAAGATTGCTTTGGCTATTCAGGGTCTTTTGTGGTTCCATACAAATTTTAGGATGGTTTGTTGTAGTTCCGTGAAAAATGATAGTTATTTTGATAGAGATTGCATTAAATCTGTAGATTGAGTAGTATGGAGAGTTTAACACTATTTGTTTTTCTAATTCATGAACCTGGAATATCCTCCCATTTGTTTATGTCGTCTACAATTTTAGTCATCAGTGTTTTATAGTTTTCAGAGTATAGATCTTTTACTTCCTTGTTAAGTTTATTTCTAGGTGTTCTATCATTTTTTTGTGCAATTGTAAATGGAATCTTTTCCTGATTTCTCTTTCTGCTGTTTAATTATTGGCATATAGATCTTTCTGCTGTTTCATTATTGGTGCATAGAAAGGCAGTAGATTTTTGTACATTGATTCTGTATCCTTTAACTTTACTGAATTCATTTATCAGTTTTTAGCAGTTTTTTTGGTGGATCTTTCAGTCTTTTTATACGTAGTATCATGCCATCTGGAAATAGTGAAAGTTTTACTTCTTTACCAATTTGGATGCCTTTTATTTCTTTTTTGGCTGATCACTGTGGATAGGACTTTAGTACCATTGTTGAATACAGTTGGTGAGAGTGAGCATCCTTGTCTTGTTCCTGATCTTAGGGGAAAGCTCCATTTTTTTTCCCCATTATGATGTTAGCTGTGGATTATTCCTATAGAGTCTTTATTATGTTGAGGTATATATCCTCTAAACCTAGTTTGTTGAAGGCTTTTATTATGAATGGATATTGTACTTTGTCAAATGCTTTTTATCTATTGAAATGATCTTACGGTTTTTATCCCTTATCTTGTTGATGTGACATATTACGATGACTGATTTGTGAATATTTAACCAGGAATAATTCACACTTGGTTGTGGTGAATGATTTCTTTTAATGTATTGTTGGATTTGGCTTGCTAATACCTTGTTGAAGATTTTGGCATCTATGTTCATCAGAGATACTGGCTCTTAGTTCTCTTTTTTGTGTGGTATCTTTGTTTTTTTTAATCAGGGTAATGCTGGCCTCATAAAATGAATTTGGAAGTTTTCCTTCCTTTTCTGTTTTTTGGAATAGGTTGAGAGAAGAATATGTATTAACTGTTCTTTAATATTTGGTAGAATTTGCCTATGAAGTCGTCTGGTCCTGGACTTTTACTTTTTTTGGGAGTTTTTATATTACTGATTCAAGCTTCACTGCTGGTAGTCAGTCTGTTAAAATTTTTTATTTCTTCCTGTTCCAGTTTTGTTAGGTTATATGTTTCTAGGAGTTTATTCTAGGTTGTTCAATTTGTTTGTATATATTTCTTCATAATATTCTCTTACAGTTTGTATTTCTGTGGTGTTGGTTGTTATTTTTCCTCATTTCTGATTTCATTTGTTTAGTCCTCCTTATTTTCTTATTGAGTCTGGCTAAAAGTTTTGGTTTCTTTGTTCTGTTCTTTAGTTCTATTTCATTTGTTTCTGCTCTATTATTCCTTCTTCTGGTTTTGGGTTTTGTTTGTCTTCTTTCTAGCTCCTTTAGGTAAAAGGTTAGGATATTTGAGGTATTTCTTGTTTCTCAAGGTAGTCCAGTATTGCTTTAAACTTTCCTCTTAGAACAGCTTGCTGCATTCCAACTATTTTGGACCATTGTGTTTTCATTTTCATTTGTCTCCATGTATTTTATTTCCTCCCCCTCTCCTCCCCTCCCCCTTGATTGATTCATTCTTTAGTAGCATGTTTTTGTCCTCCATGTGTTTGTGCTCTTTGCAGACTTTTTCTTGTGGTTGATTTCTAGTTTATAGCATTGTGGTCAGAAAAGATGCATGGTATGAATTTGTTGAGACTTCTTTTGTGGCCTAATATGGGATCTGTTCTGGAAAATGTTCCATGTGCATTTGAAAAGAATGATGGCCTTGGTGGCCTTTCAGCACTTGAAGGTATCATGCCACGCCCTTCTAGCTTGCAAGATTTGCACTGAAAAATCAACTAATAGCCTATGGAGTTTCCTTGTTTGTAACTATTTTCTCTTGCTATTTTTTAAATTCCTCTTTATCACTCCTTTGTCTTGGTCTGGACTCCCTGGGTTGATTTTTGTTGGGGGCTCTGTCTCTGGATCTCGATTTCTGTTTCCTTCCCTAGATTCGGGAAGTTTTCAGCTATTATTTCTTCAAATTTTCTGTTCCTGAAAGTTATTATGCGTGATGGTATTGCTGACTTCCATAAGTCTGTTTTCATTTTTTGTTATTTTTTTTCTATCACCTGTTCAGCTTGATTGCTTTCTGTTACTCTGTCCTATAGGTTGCTTATCTGTCCTTCTGCCTCCCATAGTCTGCTCTTTGTTCCATCTTGTATATTTTTAATTTTGGTTATTGAGTTCTTCATCTCTGGTTGTTTGTTTTTTAATGTTTTCTGTCTCTTTGTTAAGGGTCTCATTGAAGTCCAGTCTTTCCCAAGTCCAGTGAATATCTTAATGATCATTACTTTACATTGTTTATCAGGCATATTTGTGTTTCATTTAGCTCTCTTGCTATGATTTTGTCCTCTTCTTTTCTTTGGGATATATCCCTGTATCCCCTATTTTGACTAACTTTGTGTCTGTTTTTATATGTTAGGAACATTAGCTATATCTCCTGATCTTGAAAGTAGTGACCTTATGAAGCTGAATTCCTATAGTGCCCTGCAGTGCAGTGTCTCCTGTTCACCAGAACCTGATGCTTTAGTGGTATCTTTTATGTCATGTGTATAGCCTACTGTTATGGCTCAGCTGCTTTTGCCTTCAGTCCAGTTGTCTGGAATGTCTCTTTGCCTGTCATGGACAGGGTTTGTACCCTGTGTTGTTAGTGGGCCAGTCTGGGACTGCTTTGGGTTTGAGCTGAGTCAGACTAGGCGTTTGCCGGAGATGCATTAGCACGGAACTGCTTGTTGCTTTCCCTATGTTGTCCCCTGAGAGACTTTTCTTAGTGGGTGAGGCTATAGTCAGACCAGATGCCTGATCCCAGCCTCTTGCTCGGGCCATAGTAGGACTGGTGTATATAGTATCTTCCGAACCTCTCTGCATATGCCCTTCCTACCCTCTTTGAAGTGGTCTCTTCTCTAAACTTAGCTGTGGACAGTGTTGTGCCAATCTTTGGGACGTTTTCTGGGTTATTTACATTGATGTGGTTGTTGTTATCTAGTTAAATCCATGGGACATGGGGAGATTAAGATTCTCCATTTTCCCAGCTCTGAATTTTTTAAAACAACTACTGACCATTTCCTGCTTCAGTCACCAAAGTGCCACTTGAAAACTCAAAAAGTCATTTGTATGTTCCCATTCAGTTATTCAACTCCTATATTGCTTTCAGAATGAAAATTTCTGTTATTTGTTGGTAATAATGTCTATTTGACCTTTCATGTTAAGCATCCTTTTACTTCATACCAGAAATTTGTATTTTGCTTCTAGGAATGCTTTGGAAATAGAGATTACTGTTAGTTTCTTTAAAACTATAGAATGTTTGCATTTTTAAAAGCTTTATGTCAATTTACTTGTGATTTACTGTTCAGAAAACAAGGAGGAAGGACTTCTGGAAAAGCACAGGCAGCTATCTCGTGATATCAGTAGATTGAAAGAAACATATGAAGCTCTCTTAGCCAGATTTCCTAATACTCAATTTGCCTACAGGTAAGATATTTAAACCTTAAATTTTAATGTGGTAATAGCCAAGATATATTTTTAAGCTGGAAGACCGTTTGAAAATTTTATTAACATCAGGATTTCTGTATGAAAAACATTGTAAGCTGTTTTCCTTTAATTGGCATTTTTTATTCTTAAATGTTTCAAGTGTTGGCAGTAGAAATTCTAAAGACCAAAATGAAGCAAATTAAATCTCAGTCAAAATTTTCTTTAAATATCTACGTTAACATTTTACAATTTGTTTCAAAACATGGGTATTTTTCAAGGAATACTTAGAGTAGTATATGTATTACAAAGATTATAACATCAGGAGCGCCTGGGTGGCTCAGCTGATTGAGCACCTAACTCCTAGTTTCAGTTCAGGTCATGATCTCAGGATTCCAAGATTGATCCCCGTGTGGGGCTCCAAGCCCAGCAGAATCTGCTTCCCCTCTCCCTCTGGTTCTCACTTTCATGTGTTTGCTCTCTCTCCCCCCCTCTCTGTCTCTGAAATCTTTTTTTTTTTTCTTTAAAAAAAAGATCATAACATCAAAGTTATTTTTGTTTCATTGAAAACAGTATGTACTGAAAGATCTTTTGACTGACTTAAAACAATAGTTGTCTAGTCAGCTGGAACATTTAAAAATTTCTGTTTTTCTTAAAAGCATATAAGCTTCTCTTTTAATGTGTTGTTAGGAAGAAATCTTACCTAGTAAAATACAACTTTTTCTGTTTTATTATTTCAGATTAATTTTTGTCAACTGTTCTATTTTAGAGATCCAGAGAAGAACTGGAATAGAAATTGTGTGAAAGGACTTGTAGCTTCTCTGATTAGTGTGAAAGATACTTCTACAACCACAGCTTTAGAATTAGTGGCTGGGGAACGGCTCTACAATGTTGTAGTAGACACAGAGGTAAATTAATTTTAATTAAAGAAAATTTACAGTTCTGTAGTTGAAAATATCATGAGCTGCTAAGAATTAAGTAATGTCTTGATATTTTAAGATATTCCTAAGGTTGCTTATCTTTATAGGTACATTTATTCATTTAATGGCTTTTTATACTACTGATTATATTATATTTGATTAACTGTATTCCCAAAGAAGTGTCATACTTAGGAATCCAGAATGCATATTACCAGTTTTAGACCTTTGATTGTTCACATAGTAGGCACTAAACATTTATTTTATGTATGTATGTATGTATGTATGTTTTTTTATTGGAGTTTGATTTGCTGACATACAGAATAACACCCAGTGCTTATCCCGTCAAGTGCCCCCCTCAGTAGGCACTAAACATTTAATTATGGATTCCTAAACTTGCATTCTTTCCCTCTGAATGTTTTCTGTCATTAATATCTTATGTTTTCATTTCAAATGCACAATATTTTAGGTTACTGGAAAAAAGTTACTAGAAAAGGGGGAACTGAAACGTCGATACACTATAATTCCACTCAATAAAATTTCAGCCAGATGTATTGCTCCAGAAACTCTGAGGGTTGCTCAGAATCTTGTAAGTCTTCTTTATGTGTTTTATCTAAATCTTCGTTTTTTGTTTTGTTTTAGTTAGAGGAGATTAACTTGGGGGAAATAATCATATGTAGAACCACAAAATGCACAAAATGTTGTTGTTACCATGCCTTAAACATTTAAGCTTACAAAAAAAGAGTTGGCTTTTGTGAAATTAGATGGAAGGGGAATGGCAATGGTGGAAAACTAAAACTACCTTTGATCTTTCAAAGTTGTAATGTTAAAATGTCTTTAAATCTTCAGTCAGGTTACATGACTATCACATGATAGTATTACATTTCCAATCTCTGAGTTACTAGAATTACAGAGCTTATAAATACCAGAATTCTTCAGTTTTTTTCATGCCAGGCGCAGTTTAACTGCCCACAGTAACAACTGTTACAGGGGGTATCTATCAGCCTTACATAACAGGGCTGCTTCTCTGTGAGTTTCTCTAGGTTGCCTTCCATCCTGTGGACGAGCAAAGCAGGGAACCAGGCTATCCAGTCAGCTGCTGAGGTGGATTTAAAGTGTTATGGATATTAGTAAAAATAGACAAAACCAAAAACACAATAACAAAAAAAGTAAACTCCAGAGGAACACAAGGCAATACATTTAAAAGGCAATTATAGTTGTGTAATATTGGGTAATAACATGAAGCCAATCCTTATGTTATCAGCCTTCACTGAAAATTATTTTAAAATACAGTTGTATTGACATGTATACTCTTAGGAGAAGGAAAATTAGTGCAGAGTAATTGAAAGGTAGTGTTTCTGGTTAGTATTTTGTTTACTTTAAATAATCACCATTAGATCTGGAAGGTTTTGGAAGTTACTTCATTTTTTGGACAAGTCCAAAGAAGTAAATGGGGATCTCAGCTAACAAGAAAAATACTTCTACGCAGGTCCCTTAACCAGACCTTTTTAATGGTAGCTGCAGTGTTAGAGGGCAATGCTGAACATTTATTACACAGAACTGCCTTCATTTTGATTTCTTTTGTTGCTACTAAGTTCCTTAAAGGATGCTTAATTGTTTTAAAAAGATGGGCAGAAGTACACATCAACAAAGGTTAAGAAGAGGCAGTTGGATCAAAATAAAACAGGGATTTAACATTTTTTTGCCCTGGCAATTGTTAGGTGTGTTTTTCTGTAACTGATAGGTGGCTGCCCTCCCGTGTTTAATTTAAATGAAAAAGTATTTCCTTAGAACAAACAAATGACTAATAATTGAAACAAAACATTTTGTGTAATTGTGTTGATCTAGCAGTTGCTATATTTTAACCAAGATGTGTCCAAATAATCCATTTTGGATTTAGAAGTTTGGTGCTGCCTTCTGCTGTTAATAGTCTCATAATGCTTGGTACTTTAGCTAAATATTTTACTTAGCCATAGAAGTTTCAGTGTTTAAACCTGAAATTTTTTCTAAAACTCTTGATTTTCCATAGTATTTTAGAAATTTCAAAAGGAATTGTAGTGCTAGGTAGGTTAATTAAACTTGTAGTATAATAGTTCTGTTTTATAAAATAATGTAAGGAAAGTAGTCGTATGTACTGTGATATATCTGTTGTTTTCCCACAGGTTGGTCCTAACAATGTCCATGTGGCTCTTTCCCTGGTTGAATACAAACCAGAACTTCAGAAAGCAATGGAATTTGTCTTTGGAACAACATTTGTTTGTAATAATATGGATAATGCAAAAAAGGTGGCTTTCGATAAAAGAATAATGACTAGAACTGTAACTCTAGGAGGTGAGGTGTTTGATCCTCAGGGGACATTGAGTGGAGGTAGGTTGCTTTCTTGTTTATTTGCAAAGAATAAAAATAGCTGATATTTATTTAATTCACTCTGTGCTAGGTGCTATCAATATTTGCTTTTTTTTCTCATTTATTCCTTATAACTATTCTATAAAGTAGTTTTATTATTTTTCCCATTTTTTTTTTTAGAGGGAATGAAATTGAAATTCGAAAAATTTAGTAAGTCATTTAGTAACTCAAATAGTGTTAGAGCTAAGTATTTTAACTCAGAGAGCTGGACTTCAGAGCTAATGTTGAAAAGTTACTAAAGATTCTTTCCTCTATATGTTATTGAGAACTTAGGATATGCCAGGAACCATACATACCATTAGTTCATTTAGCTCTAGGAGATACGTAAGATTAAAAAAGGAGAAGCAGAAAATATTTATTAAGCATATCAGTTTACAATGACTTAAAAATCTTATATTGAAGTGTAAAGATTTATGGATTTGACTTTTTAAAAATAAAAATTGTATTTATTTATTCTTGAGAAACACAGAGAGAGGCAGAGACACAGGCAGAGGGAGAAGCAGGCTCCATGCAGGAAGCCCTCTGCGGGACTCAATCCCAGGACCCTGGGATCATGACCCAAGCCGAAGGCAGATGCTCAACCACTGAGCCACCCAGGCGTCCCTGGATTTGACTTTATTTACTTTCTCAGGGTTGTGGGATTTTTTGGGCTTAATTTATTTTGGAGCTTAAATCTAATGAAAAAGAGGTAAAAATAAATATCTAAAAAGATACACAAGATATGAGACAAACAGCAATGAAAAGAAAGCCCAGGAGACAAGATTAATACCAAAAAAATACTCTGTATTAAATGAATTAAAAGTAAAAAGGAACTGGAACTTTCTTATACTATACACTAAAATAGACTCAAAATGGATGAAAGACCTAAACGTGAGACAGGAATCCATCAAAATCCTAGAGGAAAACACAGGCAGCAACCTCTTTGACCTCGCTGCAGCAACTTCTTTCAAGACAGGTCTCCAAAGGCAAGGGAAGCAAAAGCAAAAATGAACTATTGGGACTTCATCAAGATAAAAAGCTTTTGCACAGCAAAGGAAACAGTCAACAAAACCAAAAGGCAACCTAGGGAATGGGAGAAGATACTTGCAAATGCCTTACCAGATACAGAGCTAGTATCCAAAATCTATAAAGAACTTATCAAACTCCAGAGCCTGGGTGGCTCAGTGGTTGAGTGTCTGCCTTTGGCTCTGGGGGCCTAGGATTGAGTCCTGCATTGGGCCCCCCACAGGGAGCCTGGTTCTCCCTCTGCCTATGTCTCTGCCTCTCTCTGTGTCTCTCATGAATAAATAAATAAAATCTTTAAAAAAAAAATTTACCACACTCAACACTGAAAAAAACCAATCTAGTTAAGAAATGGGCAGAAGATATGAACAGACATTTCTCCAAAGAAGACCTACAAATGGCCAACAGACACATGAAAAGATGGTTAGCATCACTCAGCATCAGGGAAACACAAATCCACAATTAAATACCACTTCACACCGGTCAGAATAGCTTAATTTAACAACTTGGGAAATTAGATGTTGGCAAGGATGTAGTAAAAGGGGAACCCTCTTATATTGTTGGTGAGAATGCAGGCTGGTGCGGCCACTTTGGAAGACTGTGGAGGTCCTCAAAAAGTTAAAAATAGAGGTATCCTACCACCCATCAATTTCACTATTAGGTATTTACCCAAAATTTACAAACAGTGCTCTGAAGGGCACCCACACCCCTGTTTATAGCCACAGTGTCCACTATAGCCAAACTCTGGAAAGAGCCCAGATGTCCATCAACAGATGAATGGATAAAGATGGTGAGTGTGCGGTATGTGTATGCACATACACAAATAATGGAATATTACTCAACCATCAAAAAGAATGAAATCTTGCCATTTGCAATGACATGGATAGAACTAAAGGATATTGGGATGCCTGGGTGGCTCAGTGATTTGAGTGTCTGCATTTGGCCCAGGGTGTGATCCTGGAGTTCCAGGATCTAGTTCTGCATCAGGCTTTCCATAGGGAGCCTGCTTCTGCCTCTGCCTGTGTCTCTGCTTCTCTCTCTGTATCTCTCTTGAATAGATGGATGAAGTCAGAGAAAGACAAATATGTGATTTCACTTGTGGAATTTAAGAAATGAAACATGACCATAGGGGAAGCAAGGAAAATAGAGAGGAAGGCAAAAAGACTCTTAAATATAGAAAACAAACTGAGGGTTGTTGGAAGGGGAGATGGGTGGGGGGATCGGTTAACAGAGTGATTGGCATTAAGGAGGGCACTTGATTCAATTAGCTCTAGGTGTTATATCATTCCTTTTTATGGCTGAATAATTGTGTGTGTGTAACCCACACACAGGTGACCTCTTTAGCCATTCATCAGTCAGTGAGTAGACAGGTGGGCTGGTTCCATAATTTGGATACTGTAGATAATACTGCAATAAACATAAGGGTTTATATATCCTTTTGAATTAGTGTTTTTATATTTGTTGGATAAATACCCAGTAGTGTGATTGATAGACCATAAGGTAGTTCCATTTTTAACCTTTTGAGGAGTCTCCCCCACTGTTTTTCCACAGTGGTTGCACTAGTTTGCATTCCTGCCACCAGTGCAAAAGTTGCTGTTTCTTCACATCTTCTGCCACATTCGTCTGTTGTGTTTCTCATTTCACCCATTCTGACAGATATGAGGTGATACCCTTATTGTTTTGATTTGCATTTCCCTGATGAGTGATGTTGAGCATCTTTTCCTATTGACCATCTGTATTTTTTACTTGGAGAAATATCTCTTCATGTGTTGTGCTCATTTTTTAATTGAATTTTTTGGGTTTGAGTTGTTAAGTTTTATCAGTTTTTCATATGTTTTGGATACTAATCCTTTATCAGCTTCGTCAGGTGCAAATATCTTTTCCCATTCTGTAGGCCGCCTTTTAGTATTGTTGATCGTTTCCTTTGCTGTGTGGAACCTTATTTTCATGTAGTCTCAAAGGTTTATTTTTGCTTCCATTTCCCTTGCCTTGGGAGATGTGCCTAGAGAAATACCGTTGTGACCTACGTCAGTGACGTTACTGTATGTACTGTCTTCGGAAAATTTGGATATTTTACATTCTTATGTTTTGTAAATTCCTTGACTGATTTTTTTTTTTTTTTACAGAGATATTCATTTTTATTACTTTTGTGTTTCCTACCTTCATACTGTCACTTTTGGTCTTTCCAGTTTCTTGTAGGTCTGGTGGCTCTGTGTTTACACTGAGGGGTGGGTGAGGGATGGGTGTGCTTGTTCCTTTGTTCTAAGGGGAGATCTCTCCCTGAATGCTGCCTTTCTGGGACTTGCTTCCAGATCAGCTCACTGCTTCCCCACTGTGTGCTCCAGGCATTCTTCAGAAAGCTGTTACCATGTTGTTTGTTTAGGCTGTTTACCCTGCTGTCTGTCCAAAGAGCAGCTCCAATACCCTTGGGGCTCTTCCAGAGCCAAGCACATCGACCTTTAAAACTAGATTTTAAGCTCTGTTCATTGCCACAACTCATGAAATTTGGCCCCTCTCACTTTTTTTTAAATATTTAAATTCAATTTGCCAACATATAGTATAACACCCAGGGTTCATCTCATGTGCCCTCCTTAGTACCCGTCACCTAGTTACCCCATTCCCCTACCCACCTCCTCTTCTGCCAACTCTTTGTTTTTCCCAGAGTTAGGAGTCTCTTCATGGTTAGTCTTCCTCTCTCATTTTTTTCCCTACTAAGTTTCTTTCCTTTCCCTTATAGTCCTTTTTCACCATTTCTTATATTCAAAGCCAGTTGCTATGGGGATTTGTCTCCTGTGTGGCCTCACCCGTGTGGCCTCCCCCAGGTGCTAGTCTCTGGCCATAGCTCCCACTCCACCATGGTAGCCATTTCTCTCCCTAACCACATCTCCACACTTCCTACCTTCTTTGCCATGGTTTCTTTTCTGCCTTTACTTGTGGCATTTGTTCCACCAGTCTTCAGGTTGATTTCTGGAGTATTTTGGATGATTTGATAGTTATCCAGTTGTATTCATGGTATGAGGTGAGCCTAGGGTCCTCCTACTATTCTGCTTCCATCTTCCCCGAAAATCTCAGAGGTAGGTTTTAGTTTATATCATTTTGTCCTCAAAATCTGTGTGGTAAGTTGGATGAGACTTTTTGTTTTTCAAAATGGGAAATTGTGGGTTTGGAATGACTTAATCCAGAGTTTATTCTTAACTTAAGGATTCGATTTTCTTTTTGAATGCTTACTGTATCACAGCTATTTAATAATAACTGAGATATTATGTTATAGCCCTCAAGGAGTTCATACTATAGTAATCAATTCTGTTGCTTTATTTATTCTTCTCAAGTAAGTCTGTTCCTGCTTTTTTTTTTTTTGTTTTGTTTTGTTTTATTTTGTTTTTCTCTTGCATTTTGCCCTATTACGATATTCTAGCCACTGGAAAAAAATTTTTAATTCAATATTTTTACTTTACCCTTGTTTGAGAAATGTTGAGTTCTAAATTGTGTACATGCCACTGTATTTGGCAAAAGTAAGACAAATTAAATCCACCCTTGAGATAAGATAATGATCATCATCTTCTTGTTCTAGTATTTGCCACATTGAGTTTCCAGATCTAATGTCGAGTGATCAAGTACTAACAAACACTAAATAGTACTCCCTGTGTATAGGGCAACATTATAAGACTGTGCTGTCAAGTACAGTAGCCATATGTGGCTCTTTACATTTAATTAAGATAATTAGAGTTAAAAAATAATTTACTCGATTGTACTAGTCATATTTCAAGGATTCTGTGACCACAAGTAGTTAACGGGTAACTGGGCAATGCAGATATAGAATATTTCTATCATTTTATGATAACCTATTTTTAGGGCTTTAAATAATGAACTCCTTTCATTATTTAGCAACTGTATAATAGGTATATTGTTATCATCTGCAGTATACCGTTGTAGAAACTAATGTACAGAGTAGTTTAATAACTTGTGGGTAAATGGCAAAGCCCGGGATTTGAATTCAGGTTATCTGTTTTCACAGTTTGTGTTTTTAACCAAACCAAGAGACTGTATATATAATGCCTGTTGAGATATCACATGAATGAATCTCTTTTTAGGCCAAGAAAACAATAGCCAACAAAATGAATTCCATCAGCAAGTATCAAATTCCCCAGTATATACAATAAGAGGATTAGTATCTGTAATTGGAGGATAAAGAGAGATCAAATATTTTTAAATATGTAAGATAGAAGACACTTTTTAGATTTCATTGATTTGGATGTTCTTGAAGTTCCTTCTTTAGGGATGGCAAATACACATCCATGTATCATATTACCAAAGTGCTCATAACACCATTGCTACTTGATCTTTGTGTTCTCCCATCAAACCCAGAGTTTTCTTGCCAGTATAACTCAATCTATTGTCACACAATTACAATTGCTTATAAAGTGAAACCAATTTTTCCTGCTTCCTCTGCTATATCAAAATTTAGGCCAGGTTATGATGCAGTAACAAATAGCACCCAAATCTCAGTGGCTTCTAAAAAGTACCTACCTTAAGTAAGACTACTTTACCTGTAGGTCTTTTATGTCTGTTCAGTGTTATTCTCATTCTGGAACCCAGGCTGAAGGGAAAATAGCTCCTACTTTGAACCTGCTTTTCTAATGGGAGAGGGAAAACAAATGGTGAATTATGTGCTGCTTTTTAAAGCTTACTTTCAAAAGAGGCACATTTTCCATTTCATTGGCCAGAGCAAATCACATGGCTAAGTTGATATCGGAGAGGAAAATGGCCCTGAGAGGGATGGGCCCAGAAGGAGCAGTGATTATTTTGAGTAAACAATCCACATCTGCTTAGAAGTATTTTCTTATGGACTATGTATGTCCTAAGATTCCAATGATAAAATGAACTCTATCTTTATAAGCTAACTATATAAGATTTGCTATTGAACCTTTTCAAGTATAATTATTTGAAAGTTATTTATTGTCTAAATATGTAGTAACCCAATGTCTAAGTCCTCTTAAAATTTGCTTCTATCAGGTGCTCGATCCCAGGCAGCTTCTATTTTAACCAAGTTTCAAGAACTGAAAAATGTTCAAGATGAGCTGAGAATCAAGGAGAATGAGCTACAGAGTCTAGATGAGGAATTAGCAGGTCTTAAAAACACAGCTGAAAAGTAAGATTTCTGTCAGATTAAGTTGTATTTTTAAGTTTCTTTTTGGTCAACGATTTGTATGGTAGAAAAATGAAAGAATTTTATCTAAAGAATATAATTTCTGACTTTTCTCATAATATCCTTGGTATTATCTGAATAAATTGTGAGTTGATAACTTGTTTATCAGTTATCTACTTTTTTTCTGATAAAAATAAGGTCTCTGTTATAAGAAAATAGGGAAAGCTAATTAAACAAGGAAGGGAAAAAAATCAGCCAAATATTTTTCTTTCCCTGTTAAGATATACTGTTAGCTTTCTCCTGGAATTGGTAGGGAAATCCATAGATACTCTGGAGGTTGATACCAGAGGATACTAAAGTCTCTGATTTGAAATGATATATAATGTAGCATCAATCAGAGGTCAACATTAGCAGCATATGGCTGTCCTATAGATATTAAAGACTGCTGGGTTGCCTGCTGAGGAAGTACAGGAGTTCATGTCAGGAATTCACTGTTAAACTATTTCTAAAATTAAGAGTCACTTAGAGTGTTTCTTCTCTATGGATGTGGATATAGATATATATGTGTACCTCTCAACATTACTTCTGTTTGTGTATGATATGGGTAAATACATAATTTTTTGAAATTGGGATCATGCTATTTAATATAACCTCTTTTTGTCAGTTAATGTTATTTACTACTGAGTGTCTCCTATGTGCCAAGTATTCTGCTAGGAGCAGGAATACAGCAGTGACCCAAACCGATAAATCTCTTCCTTCTTCTTGTGTGTGTGTGTGTGTGTGTGTGTGTGTGTGTGTATATATATATATATATATATATATATATATATATATATATATATATATGAAATCTGAGAAAATGCAATAAAAAAGTTAAATTGGTAAAACATATGTTAGATAATGCTAAGTTCTAAGGGGGAAAATGTCACAAACTTTAAAAGGTACATTATTTGAAAGTTTCTAATTTTTTCCAGTCTCTCTGAAGATGACAAATGGGAACAGAGTTAAAATTAAAATCAAACATTTTATTCAGAATTCATAATACTGAATAAAGGTTAAAATCTGTACATAGATAAACTTCAATATATATAAATTATTAGCATTTATCTTCTGAAATTATCAAAAGTTGGAATGGTGCCAAGACTTTTTAGAATATTATATATGTGGAAAGAGATGGGTCATAATCAGTCAAAGTGGCCATTCCAAGATAGAAATTGTATCACGATGTCCACTTTCAAACATATACATGCAGAGCCTACTTTTACTTTCATTAACATAAATTACCAAAAAGTGAATGAATTTTTTTCTCTGTGAAAAAGATGGGAAGAACATTTCTGAGATCCGTGAAAGCTTTGGCAAGGCAATGAATTTGTAGTTGCACTTGACTTAGAACTGTTAAATGATCCAATAACACTGAATAAAGTTATTTTGCAGAATTGTCTTGTAGGCTGATTATGGCATTGAGGTGAAGGAAAGGAAATAGATTTTTAAAAATATGAGAGATGCCTCAGTCAGTAAAGTGTCTCACTCTTGATTTCAGCCCAGGTCTTGATCTCAGAGTTGTGAGTTCAAGCCCCATGTTAGGCTCCATGCAGGGTGTGGAGCCTACTTTAAAAAAAAAAAAATGAGAGTAGAAAGCCCTTCTTTCATGGACCATATTAAGAAAAAAGCTTATATCAAGTTTCTACATCCCACATTTTTATTTTTTTATTTTTTTTTTATTTTTATTTTTTAAGATTTAATTTATTTATTCATGAGAGACAGAGGCAGAGACACAGGCAGAGGGAGAAGCAGGCTCCATGTAGGGAGCCCGATGTGGGACTCGATCCCGGGACTCCAGGATCACTCCCTGGGCCGAAGGCAGGTGCTAAACTGCTGAGCCACCCAGGGATCCCCTACACCCCACATTTTTAAATGAACTGAGAAATGGCTTGAGAATTATGGTTTTAATTGCTGTCAAGCATTCTTAGGCAAAAATACTTAGGTAGTATTTATGTTATATAAGTTGCTTCCTTCCTTTTTTACTCAGACCTCATGAATTTCTGGTGCCAACTGGAAATTTCACTACTGCTGAATTAGATAAATATTTATAATGTTCAAGTTCAGCACTGTGCCTTTTTAAACTATTGTCTCATTATAAAATATAGGGAACTTTGCTAATAACTTGAAAATGGAAACTGATAACCAGATTTCTGAAGTTTTGTGTGGTTGTTACATTTTAATGTATTTTTTTGGTAGGGAGCTACTGTGGAGTCTTTCTTCTTGATACAAATCAGTAGGAGAGACCCTTTTTAAGGAAACCTATTTATTCCAAGGTTATTTTTAGTGTTTTCTAAAATTAAGAGTATTTCTATAGTTATTACCTGTATTGGTCATTTAGAGTCATTTACCTTAAGTGACCAAATCAGACTTGAATTTGATGCTTCAAAAACATGTCATCAAAGCTCTTCTTGTAACCAGTGGCATCTTATATTGTTTATATTGTGAGTTTATATTAGTTTATATATAGTTTAAGTGCGTATCTCAAATATCAGAAAAGTTATAATCATTTATTGTAATCTTCTCTTTTTCTAAGGTATCGCCAACTAAAACAGCAGTGGGAAATGAAAACTGAAGAGGCAGATTTATTACAAACCAAGCTCCAGCAAAGTTCATATCATAAGCAACAAGAAGAATTAGATGCTCTTAAAAAAACCATTGGTAAGATAAAAACATTCTCTGTTTAATCTATTTCTGTTAACTTTATATATTTTAGATCTTATATCTATTTGATCACCCTAAATATTTTAATTATTATATTATCATAAATTAATCGACTATATGCACATGGGTTTATTTCTGGGCTCTCTTTTGTTCCATTGATCGATGTGGTCTGTTTTTAATACCAATCCCATATGGTGTTGATTACATTAACTTTGTATTATAGTTTAAATCAAGGAGTATGATTTCCTCACCTTTGTTATTCTATCTCAAGATAGCTTTGGCTATTCAGGATCTTTTATGGTTCCATACAGATTTTAGATTTGTTTTATTTCTGAAAAAAAATGCCATTAGAATTTTGGTAAGGATTTCAACAAATCTGCAGATTGCTTTGGGTAGTATGGACATTTTAATAATACTCTCCCAATCCATGAGCATGGCGTATCTTTCCAGTTATTTGTGTCTTCAATTTCTTTTATCAGTGCTTTACAGTTTTCCGTGTACAGGTCTTTCTACCTCCTTGGTTAAATTTATTCCTAGGTATTTACTTTTTTTTTTTTTAATTTACTCTTTTTGATGCAATTATAAATAGGATTGTTTTCTTAATTTCTCTGACAGTTCATTATTAGTATATAGAAGTGCAACAGATTTTTGTACGTTGATTTTATACCTTACTACAGATTCATTGAATTTGTCTCTTAGTTCTGACAGTTTTTTAGTAGCATCTTTAGGGTTATCTGCAAATAGAGATAGTTTAACTCCTTTCTTCTATGGATGCGTTTGTTTGGTTTCTTTTTTTCTCCTCATTGCTCTGACTAGGACTTCTAGTACTATGTTGAGTAAAAATGTCAAGAGTCATCCTTGTCTAGTTTTCTGATCTTAGAGGATAAACTTTCAGCTTCTCAGTGTTGAGTATGATGTTAGTGTGGGCTTGTCTTGTATGGCTTTTTATGTTGAGATACATTTCATTTATACCTACTTTGTTGAGTTTTATTATAAATCGTTGTTGAAATTGGTCTAATGCTTTTCCTGTATCTATCGAAAACATGCTCTTTATTCCTCATTTGGTTTAATGTGGTATAACACATTGATTGCAGAAGTTAAACTAGCCTTTCATCCTTGGGATAAATCCACTTGATCGTAGTATATTATCCTTCAAATGTATATTTGCTAAAGATTTTTGGGTCTATGTTCATCAGGGTTATTAGGCTGTAATCCCCCCCCCCCCCCCCCGGTGTCTATGTCTGTTTTTGATACCAGAGTAATGCTGGCCTTAGGAGTTTCAGAGTGCCCTCCTCTTCTGTTTTTTTGAAAGACTTTGAGGATAGGTATTAAATCTTTGAATGTTTGATAGAATTCACCAGTAAAGTCCTCTGGTCCTGGACTCCAGTTTAAGAGGTTTTTGATTACTGATTCAGTCTCCTTACTAGTAATTGGTCTGTTCAGATTTTCTGTTTCTCATGATTCAGTCTTTGTTTTTTGTTTTTTTTGTTTGTTTTTTTTTGTTTTTGTTTTTGTTTTTTTTATGATTCAGTCTTTGTAGGCAGTAGGTTTCTAGGAATTTATCTGTTTCTTCTGGGTTATTCTATTTGTTGACATATAATTATTCATAATAGCCTCTTGGGATCCTTTGTATTTCTGTGGTATCAGTTATAATGTCTCCCTTGTTTTTCTGATTTTGAGTCCTTGTACTTAGGCTAGCTTAAAGTTGGTCAGTTCCATCTTTCTAAGAACTAGCTTTTACTTTCATTGATCTTTTCTATTATTGGTTTCTTTCATTTTACTTTTCCTCCTTCCTTTTAACCTTGAGCTTTTGTTTTTTGCTTGTTTTTACTTCCTTTACGTGTAAGGTGGTAGATTGAGATTTTTCTTATTTCTTGACGTAGGCAGTTATCACTATAAACTTTACTCTTAGAACTGCTTTGCTGCATCCCATTAAGTTTTATATCCTATTTACATTTTCATTTGTATTTTTAAATTTTTTTCTTTGATTTCTTACAGCAATATTATACACTGAAAAGCAGTATAGGACATTGTATAGTCATGATCTCCAGGGTTATAGTTGTATCTACATTCTAAAACAGTGTATAGCAGTTGTAATAGTCATGTGCTCATTTTGATCTTGCTTTTATTTTTTTCCTTATAAATTAGAGCTATTTCTTCTATGCTTCATCCTAGACATGTTTTCACATATTCTCTACTTTAAGAAAAGGCATAAATAAGCAAAGAATACAACATAAGCTTATTTATGAAATTAACTGTAAGCTATTTGGCAACTAAGTAAAAGGAAAAATACCATAGTTATACTGTTGATTCTGGTTTAGGAAGCATCTTAAAGGTACACTAAAAGGATGGCTTCTGATCTTTTAAATAAGTTACAAGTAAAGTTTATGTTACTCAGATTTCATATGCTTGGAAGTACTTTCTTCATGGATCTTTAGATAATTCAAGTAGGCTCTTAGGTAGGATCTGTGTTTCAATGTAACATTTCTAGGATAAGGTTGGAACAGTTAATTTTTTTAAACTTTAGCTTCCAATTTTTCAGACCATTTCTTCTATTAAAAGGTGAATTTAATAAGACGTTTATAAGCCATTACCTATAACTGCTAATTGGAGAAACTCATTTAGTCACATTTGCCTACTTTATGATACAGAGGAAAGTGAGGAGACCTTAAAAAACACCAAAGAAATTCAGAAAAAAGCAGAAGAAAAATATGAGGTACTGGAGAATAAAATGAAAAATGCAGAGGCTGAGAGAGACCGAGAACTGAAGGATGCTCAGAAAAAACTGGATTTTGCCAAAACAAAAGCAGATGCTTCTAGTAAGAAAATGAAAGAAAAACAACAGGTAATAAATAACCTTTCTTGAAGTGGAAACCAACTTTTTATCATCAGTACAAAGCTGAAGATGGTAGAGCATATTTGATAGCCTTACTCATCAGTATTCACACAGTATCCAAAGCACACTATGCTTCTTTAGGAGATAAATTATGTATCTTCTAAGTCAAATTAAAACATTTTGCTGAAAACCTTGTAATGGAGGGTCATAATTATAAGGATGGGTTGCATAGTCTTGCTAATTTTAAAGAGCGAGCAAAATTACCTTATTGTAAATGCTTTGCGCAAGAGTAGACCAAAGCTTCTATTATGTAGTAGAGCTGTGTCATGTCAGCTTGAGTTTTGACATTTCTATTTGGTGATCATCCATTTGGTGAATGGATGCTGTGAAAATTGATACAGGACAAAGCATGTTACATTTATAAAGTGCCATTCAGTTGTAAACTGGTGATAACTGATTTTACCCTTTGGATAGTGCCAAAGCTGGAATTTGAACCTAGCCTTTTCTGTCTATTTTAAAGACAGCTCTGAATCACTTTTCTGTACAATTTTATTTAAATCTATTTTTCTTCATATTCTGTCATTAAATGCTTGCACAAAGTATTTTCTAATGAACTAAAAGGTTTAATGGGAAAGAAGAAAATTGAGAAACTAGTTTTTTTTTTGACGTTGCATAATTATGTTTTTAAAAAGGATTTTTCCTCTGCTAGTTTATCTCTTATGTAGAATTCTATATTTTTCTCTAGGAATAAACGGATAAAGGAAATAGCTTATGCTAAGTTATTTAAACTAAACGTGATTTTTTTTTTTTTAAGTGTAGGAAAATAAATTTCCTTTCTCTTTTAGGGGAAACCACTTACATGTGTTTTGGTAGTTGAATAATGAAGCTGTGGGTCTTACTTGCATGAGAATCATACTAATTTTGCTGAGATATATGTATTCATTTTTCAGTAGTTAATAGCCTATTGAATGTGTAGATAATGGTTTTTTCTAGGAAGTTGAAGCTATCACCCTGGAGCTGGAAGAGCTTAAGAGAGAGCACACATCCTATAAACAACAGCTTGAAGCTGTAAATGAAGCTATCAAATCCTATGAAGTACAGATTGAAGCAATGGCAGTAGAGGTGGCTAAAAATAAGGTAACGTTTACTTACTATATTGAATAAATAGCAAATGTGAATCTACTTATGAAATGTTGGCTAGAAGATGTTTGACTCCTAGAGGTCTCGCTCTCTTGATTCTTGTCTTGATGAGAGCCAAAACAGTGATTACTGTGATCCAGAAAGAGTCCTGAAATTATAATACTAATTGCTTTATTCTGGCTCTACTCTGAAGACAAATAATACAGTAATTCGAGCAGGCAAAGTTTAAATTAAAAATTCACTACAGTAGGAATTTGGAATGATGTGGGATTGATCACTAAAGAGAAAAGAGAATGCAAAATGATAAAGGAACAGCAGATACAGGGAATAGCCATTATGACCCATAGGGCTGAGAAGTACTCCTCCGATGGAAGGAACAAATCTGGAAAACAGCCCCATTGCGCTTGCTCTTAATTCTTTTGATGACTTAATTCAAGTTTTTTGTTTTTTTAAATATTTTATTTATTTGAGAGAGAGCGAGCACCGGCAGGGGGAGGAGGGGCAGAGAGAGAGGGAGAAGCAAACTCCCCACTGAGTGGGAAGCCCAAAGTGCAACTTGATCCCAGGACCCTGGGATCATGACCTGAGCTGAAGGCAGACACTTAACCGACTGAGGCATTCAGTCACCCAAGTTTTGTTTTTAACACATTGTCAAATCAGTAGAATAACATTTTTAACTACTTTTTTTGAAGAAATGCTTCTCAGCTCTGTGTTTTGTGATGATTAGATTTTCTAGATTTGTTCAGTTTCTATTTTGTCTCCAAAGTAAATTTTAGGTTTTAAAGATATTTATTTAATATGTCTTAATCTTATATTTTTTATTTCATATGAAATATTTTCCATATTTTGTGCTGTCTTTCATGGATCTCATGTTGGAGAATTTTTAAAAAAATTCGATAACATGTTTCTAAAGATAAAGATAAATGTGAAAATAAGCTACTCCTTTCTCAATATAAATGAAATCAAAGTCCGAACATGTACATATTTCCATTTTTCTTTATGGAAAAGTATAGAATGGATCACTTCGTTCTTAAAGGTGGTTCTTTCAGGCTCTTCATTCTAAATTGTTTCTTCTCTTTGATAAGAATAGCAAAGGACACTCCCCAGAGGCTAAGAAAAGAAACTGCCTACTAAATAATTAGACAAAACTAAAATTTCATTTCTGCTCAACCTTAGTGACAATTTCCTGTTATTATAAAAAAGATTAAAATAGTCAAAATTGCAATGCAATTTTTAACCTGTAAGCATGAGAAAATCTTCATAAACATGTTTTTTGTTTGTTTTGTTTTTTGTTTTTTTGTTTTTTTTTTTTAGATATGGTGTTAGTTAATAGGCCTGTATCTGTTATTTTTCCCTTTGGTTAATAATCACCAGACTATTTTTCACTTTCTTTTCTTGTTCTTCAAATGTTTCAAAAAGCTAAAATATCTTTAGGTTTTTATATGAATGCCCTGATTTATTTTCCTTCCTCAGAAGATCTCTAATGACACAGATTAAACATTTTAGGAAATTAAAGCACTTTGAGCACATTCAATAACCTAACCATAACATTAAGTGTTCTTTGTTGCTCAAAATGATCGTTTTGTAATGAGCATACCTAAAAAACTGCTACACTTTTTTTACTTGTGCTTTTCATCACAAAAAACCACCCTTCTACCTTTCTCTTCCTCAGAGGCTTGTAGCAGATTGTCCTACTTAGGTTTTCCCTGTACCCAAACATGAGTTGAACTGGTTTTTTTGGTTTAGACATTTAATGTGATTTAAGATCTAGGATGAACGAAAGGGGTTTGTGGAGCAGGGGGTTGTTGATAGACTGAATTGCAGTTTTAATTACCACTTTGAGGATTGAGTGAGTAGCTTCAGCCTTGGGAAGTAGGAGGATAATAAAAGTCAAAGCAAGAAACTTTTTCTTTGTGTCACAGATCTATTTGTTCAAAAAAGTTTCTCTTTTCTTTTTCTCTTTTGACCCCTGTGCTAGAACCAAACATTATGACCTTCCATTGTCACTGGTAAAAATAGATTATATCTATAAAAGGGAAAAGTAGAAAGCACCAACCTGCAAACTCTTGATAAATGATATTTGGGGATCTGTCATATTGTCTTCTTGTTAACTACTAAAAAATGCCACCTTTTTGAGACCTCAAAAGTCAGATTCCTATAATCCCTGCAAGTTGATCCCAACTACACTGTACCCAGCAGAAACTTTGTCGCTTCCAGCATGAACACTGCATCCCATCTTTTTTCTAGTAGTAAAACAAGTTTTCTCCTGTATATAAATTAGTCATTTTAATGGGGATGTAAAATATAGAGGGTTAGGTGACCATCTGCCTCTAAACATATTTCTATCTTGCCCAAAAGTTTGGTAGATGATCTTTTAATAAACATATGTCCACAACACCTTGCTATATGTTGTCTTTGAATTATTTGTTTCAGGAGTCTGTAAATAAAGCTCAAGAAGAGGTGACCAAACAAAAAGAAGTGATAATAGCCCAAGACAATGTAATTAAAGCTAAGTATGCCGAAGTAGCAGTACATAAGGAACAAAACAATGATTCTCAGCTTAAAATTAAGGAATTGGACCACAACATCAGCAAACATAAACGGGAAGCTGAAGATGCTGCTTCGAAGGCACGTTTGTGTTGTTTATTTTTATCCGTAATCAGATTTTTGCTTCTGAGTTGTTGAAATATTCTGGTAAACTCAATGAGGAATTCAGTAGAAATGGCAGAACTGCTGTGTAACATAATTTTGAGGCTTACAGCTATTTTGAAGGCTTCTCAGCAATGTTCCTTTTCACCAAATAGTATAAATATTTTGTTTCTAAATTTCAGGTATTTATTCCTGTCTCCAACATGTTTTCACCAAACAGTGTTTTTTCATGGAACTGACCACTTTTTAATCCGCAAATATTCATAGATCTATTAATAGATCAGTACTAATAATATATATTGTTTACCTTATTTCAAAATGAATTGGAAACTCACAAAAATACATATACAGGCAACTTCTAAAAGAAGGACTTCATTGGCTTCCGGATGTCCTTGTGAGAATCAGTCAATTTTGCAGCCTCATCTGAAATCTGATGTTTTGCCTACCAGCTATCTTTTTGCAGTTATTTCAGTTTTTTGGTCACTCTTAAAAAGTTTCTTCCTTCTTTGTATCACAATGTCTTAAGTACTTTAAAGAGAATACATACTTTTGCAGAAATTCATGCTTGGTTAAGAGGCTGCACTCATGAAGTCTTAGTAACTCACCCATTATGTTTTCGGAGGAGTGTGTAACAGTTTGGTGTCTTTTAAATCTTTGTTAGCATCTTGAAGGTAGAAGAGATTTAACTTCAGAAAACTCAGAGCATACAAAATTGTTACCCCACCCTCTGAAAGAGCCATGTGTTCCTGTTCAGGTTCATTACTGAGTTTTAAAAAAAAAAGGTTTTTTTTTCATAGCCGCATCATTGGTATCCTAATTTATTACTGATTTCCTTTTAGCCTGATAGCCTAATATTAGTGGATTCACTGAAATATTACCAATGTTAATATTACTGTTATCATCCTGAAATAACAAAAAAAATGATACAGTTTTTTGCTAATTGAAAATGCTAGTAGTGGTGATTGCTGGGGGATTTTATTTACAGTTAAGGAGGTGAAAAGGAGATTTGCAGATAGAACTGCTAAAAAGTCAAGGATTCTTTGAAGTATATGGTTTATCAAATACTTAGTGAATACCAACTAGTATCAGATGGTAGGCAAGGCACTAGAGATAAGGCTAAGTAACCTGTACCCAGAATCACTTCTTAGAGCTGATGGATCAGCAGGAAGGTAGACTGGAAGTGATCATCTTTAGAGCCTGGAGGAGAGACCATACCCCTGGAATTAATAAGGATAAACAAATTGACAAGGATAAGATTTTACCAGTAAGCACCAGCCTAAACAGTTTTAGTTGAGAAAGTCTCCTTAAGCACCATAATTTAAAATTTTTAACTGTTTATATTATATAAAGTATACTGTTGTGCCTTATCAAAAAAGAGTGGCTAAGAGAATGGAGTCACGTTTAGGGCAGCTTTTTATTCATCTAATAATTCTCAGAATTAATCAGTTCATCAGGATTTGGCTTGCACAAATTTACTAAGTCTATGCCTTATGTATTCCTGTAAGAATCCTAACTTTCATAAGTTTTGTGTGTTTTTGTTTTGTTTTAATTCATGAGAGGCAGAGAGAGAAGCAGGTTCCCCATAGGGAGCCTGATGCAGGACTTGATCCCAGGACCCCTGGACCATAACCTGAGTCAAAGGCAGACATTCAACCACTGAGCCACCCTGAGGTTCCCTCACAAGTTGTTTTTGAAGCCATTGCTTGAGTTTGGTACAATCTGAAGGAGCCTTATCTGACTTATATTTCATTCTAATGGAAATGTTTCACATATACTTTATACTTGCCTGAGCTGGCTGGTTCTCCTAATGCTTAAGTAATAGGAAGATATTTTTTCTATACAACATCTTTTTTTTGAGCCTATCCTCCAGGTAAAAACATAGATTTACTATTAACAGTGAGCCTCATTTTTATGAAGGAGTCGTTAAGATTACTAAATATTTAAGAAACTTTTTTAAAAAAGATTTATTTATTTGAGAGAGCATGCACAAGCAGGAGGAGGGCAGAAGGGGAGGGAGAGAATCCTCAAGTAGACTCTCTACTGAGTTTGGAGCCCATAGTGGGGCTCAGTCTCAGGGTCCTGAGATCATGACTTGAGCGAAAACCAAGAGTCTGGAAGCTTAATCAACTGAGCCACCCAGGCACCCCAAGAAACTGGTTTTTAAATGTCCATTTGTAAACAATGATAGATGCTTCTATTATCCTCTGTAACTAGGTCTCCAAAATGTTGAAAGACTATGACTGGATTAATGCAGAGAAACACCTTTTTGGGCAACCTAATAGCGCCTATGATTTTAAAACCAACAACCCAAAAGAAGCTGGACAGAGACTTCAGAAATTGCAAGAAATGAAGGAGAAACTGGGGAGAAATGTCAACATGAGAGCTATGAATGTTCTAACAGAAGCTGAAGAACGGGTAAACCCTTTTCCTTTGACTGGCCACCTGAGTAGCATTGATGGCTCTCTGTGACCCTTGCAGCAAATATTAGGAAATTTTCTGCTTGATGCCTTTGATACTGGATTTTTTTTCTGTTTTCCCTTTCTCTCTTTTCAGTTCTTATTACATTGTTTTGCATTATCAGTTATTCATATATTCTTTTGTACCTTGAATAACTTTTCTATTGACTTTGCCATAAACATATTGTACCCTTTTCTTATTCTCTGTGTACATAAAAACAACAGTTTGTTCTGGTTACCTCATATTTCTATCCTTTCTTTCACTTGCCTTGAAAGGGCTTTGAAAAATAAGGTGTACTCAGCTATCTGCCTCCTTAACATTCATTCCATAACTATTGTCTCCCTTTTGACTCAAGGGTGTCCTGGAACCATTACATAATAATGACTAATATTGTTATATGCATAGCCACTCATTAATTAACTTGTAAATCCAGCAGCATCTTCTGTTTTAATGCTCACTTACTTGATAATGTTATCCATCTCCCCAACCCTGACAAAACTTTTAAAATCTGCCATGTTACTAGAAAAATCTACAGGGGAAAGCAATCCATATTCTTGACAGCTCCATAGGAAATAGCAGTCTGAGTAGTTTTATATTATGCCATATACCTTCTTTAAATTTGCAAAATTCTGTTTGAATTTGTATCATAGAATTATGAGAGCTCTTTAAAAGTGGTAATACTTATGAGCTCAATTACTTTTAAGAAATTTTCTATAATGGGTCTTTTTTGTAATTGTTATTGACATTAGTATCTACAAAGAATCTATATTATGTTAGATGCCAAATAGGCTAATAATGTTCATGTTGTGATCTATCTATAAAATGTTCCTGCTGGATTTTATTTCTCCATTAAGGCTTTGCAATATATGCCATATATGTGGAAGAAAATCTGGTCTGAATTTGAGCTGCATATCATCATGAAATTTATTCACTTCTTTGTTTTTATTAGATATGATAACTGGGTCTAATATTTCTTTAAAAGAATTTGCCAACTCCCATTTCCTTACCAGAGGGGGGAAAGCTCTATTGTTGATAAGCAAGGTGGCCTTTTGTTTTGTTGTATTTTGTGTCTGTCCACATGAGAAACTACATGGAATTATGCAAGGAATAAGAGAATATTATAGAGAGGAAGTCTTAGGAGCTTGGCCATAAAGCAGAGAGACAGCAAGGGGACATGAGCAGGATTGGCTGGAATTTTTAAGGAAGAATTTGAAACCTCCTTTGAGACTTTGAGGAGAAATGAATTGAGGATTTTTAGAAAGTTCTGCTGCTACTCATGCTGTAATTATCCCTTTGCAGCCTCCCTCAATTTTTATCAGTGAGTTTCTACATTAACCAGGAAAGACCACTCTGAAGATATGATACTTGAGGCACCAATTATGTCAGATACAGAGAAAGCATTCCAGGAAGAGAGAAGAATGCAGAGGCTCTAAGGCTATAATGAGCTTATTATGTTCAAGGAACTGAAAAAAGACCATACAGCTGGAGCCTGGGGAGAAGTGGGATACCAAAAAATCAGAGATAAGTAAGGGCCAAATTATGTAGGGCTTGTATATAATGGTGAGGAATTGAAATTTTGTGTCACTGCTGAGACTGACCTTAAGAAGAAAGCATGCCAGGGCTACTTCTGAGTTTACATAAGACATTTTCTTTTTTGCCTTGGCTGCTAGAAAGCTCTGGTGGGAGTACTAGTGGAATCAGAATACGTCAGGAGCTCATCCTATAAATTCTCAATAATAGCAACTAAACTTTGCATATAGGTGATATGATGTAAACCAAATCATGAAGAAAGTAAATATGACTCTTAATGCAGTATACCTTTCTGGTAAACAGGAGTATGTATATTATATATAAAAATTAAACCTCTATTCCTGACTGAATTCCAGAATATAAGGAAAATTTTATATTTTTCTAATTAAGTATGATTTTTTTTAATCTTACTAGTATAATGACCTGATGAAGAAGAAAAGAATTGTAGAAAATGACAAATCCAAAATCCTTGCAACTATAGAAGACCTTGACCAGAAGAAAAACCAAGCCCTAAATATTGCTTGGCAAAAGGTATTTGAACCAAAAATATTGTCATTTATTCTCTATGAGGCAAGTATGAAGAATATTGTCAATAGGTTTATACTCTAAGATGAATTTGAAATGATTTGTGTTTGAATGAGGCACGCATTCACACCTTAATTAAAACCTCCTTGACTTTTAAATGCATTTGTCCTTTTAGACTTTCCTACTACTGATTTGCAAAGGTAATAAGTTTGTGTTCCTTCATCATACTCTTTAGTCTACTTCTCTGGGTCCTAACTTATATTAAGTTTCTAACTTTCTAGATTTATTTTTCATTCTTACCTTCAAAATACTATTTATCTGAAACCTTAGATTCTGTCCAATATCTGCCATACCCCACTCACCTTCTGCTTGAAGCTAGAAGCATTCTCAGATTTGCATTGGGAAGCTCTGATCACTGGAAAGCACCTCCCAAGGACCCCTTTGGTTGGTTCTAACTTCCTTGGTTTCTCTTGCCTAGACTCACAGAGGTCAAATATTCCTTCTCAGAGCATTTCTCTAACTAAAGATTGGCATATTCCCTACCACTTATTTATTCATGAGTGACACACAGAGAGAGAGGCAGAGACATAGGCAGAGGGAGAAGCGAGTTCTCCCTGGGGAACTTGGTGTGGTTTTCAGTCCTTAGGACCTTGGGATCCCATCTGAGCCGAAGACAGACGCTCAACCACTGAGCCACCCAGGCATCCCTCACTTAGAAGTTATTAATTGCATTTCAAAATTCATAGTTACGCATTTTGTAGGTTTTTAGTGAAGCATTTTGTACTTTTAATGAACAATTCCATAACTGATAGTTAACCATATTTTATAGATGAAGAAATAAAAGCTTAGAAAGGTGAAATAGCCTAAGATCATATAGCCAAAGATGGAAAACTGGGATTCTCTTCCTAAGTTAGAACCAAAGTTAAGATTGCCTTTCAGTTGCTGATTGCTGTTGCCCTTAAAAAATTGGGCAGTAAGCAAGGAAGTTTAGAATTCTCTTTCACTGGACTGTCATTCAGCAAAATCCCAAGTACTTTTTTTGTCTTGTATCATAACAACTTTAGCAGATTTCAAGGTTCTTTACTATTACTTCACTTCCTAGGCTGCATGTAATTTGTCTGCTTTAGGATAAATTCCATAGCCTCTTATGTGGAAGTTTTCCTGTATCATCCTAGCAAAAGATTCTCAGTCAAAAGACTTCAAACATAGTTACTGTGCTGTTTGGTACTTTAACAAGCCTGTGCCTCTGGGATTTAATTGGGTACTTTGCCTCCAAATAATTCTGTAACTATTTGGAATTCTGAAAACTTCATTTTCAGTAATGGCAGCACAATTATCCCGTTTAGTCACCTTGTTCTTACTCTATAACTTATTTTCAGTGTCCCATCTCCCTATGGAGTTTGCTTTTTTAACAGGCATGCAAAAAGTGGGTCCCATTATCTTTGTATAAGTGTGGATTTAACACTGGATTTGAGAACTTTTCCCCATGGTTCCTGCATTTAATGCAAGTACAAATTTATCCTTTAAATTGATGTTCCCCCAATTTCTAAGTTTCTCTCAAAGCAGGTAGATTTATTCAGTGCTTATTATATGTTAGATACAATTCTCATATTAATGTTCTCATTTAATCCTCAAAATAATCTATTGAGATAAGTAATGTTATTATCAGCATTGTATACTTCTGGGTTCCAGCACATTCAATTCAGAAAGCCAGAGTATTTTCAGCATTGGCTCTGTTATTTTTCTGTTTCCTTCTTACCTGTGTTGGATTTTCAAATTCAGTCACATTTCACCTTTATATATGTCCATGAAAGTAATGCATTTCCTATCTTGAATAGGACTATCTTCTTCTTTACCCACTAACTGTTAAGTTTCTCTTTTACTCTTTGGAGGAGTTTCCACATGGAATCCATGGTCATGTTCAGGGTTTAGTAGCAGTCTACTGTTTTAATCCTGTTTAGTGTCTCACTCCTACGTGGACAAAAAATTAAAGAACGGAAAAAGAACCAAAGTTGTTTATAAATACTTTGCTATCTTCATCATTCCCAAAAAAGAGAGTGGCCCTCTCCATTGTGATGAACCTCACCTAGCTCCAGAAATCTATCCCAGATAAAACTAAAATCTATTAACTCTGTGTAGGGTATTACTCAGTATGTATGCAGTTACTCTTAAAACTGTATTCCTTGGTATCTAGATCTCTTGTTTATTTGTGCTTGAATTTGGAGATTTCTTCAGGGAACATGACTGTCAGATCCTCATGGGTTTGTGCCTGTGTGTGTATACGCTTAGGCTCTCAAATTTACTGAACGCTCTAAGATTATTAGTTGTGTATTTTTTTGAAGACCAATGACCAAATTCTCAAATCATTGATCCAAGCGTGTATGTACAAAAATTACCCAATTAAAATTAGAATACTGACCCTAAATCTCTAGGTAATCTGTGGCTTGATGGGGATAAGCCAGACAGCTTCTTTTTTTTTTTTTTTTTTTTAATTTTTATTTATTTGTGATAGTCACAGAAAGAGAAAGAGAGAGAGGCAGAGACATAGGCAGAGGGAGAAGCAGGCTCCATGCACCGGGAGCCCGACGTGGGATTCGATCCCTGGTCTCCAGGATCGCGCCCTGGGCCAAAGGCAGGCGCCAAACCGCTGCGCCACCCAGGGATCCCCAGCCAGACAGCTTCTTTAGCCTTTTCTGTTGGGGTCTAATCCTGTTCCTGCTTTTTGACAACTTCTTTGGCTGAAAAGAAGCCTACAGACAAGGACCATCCAATGTCAGATCTGGTTGTTTGATTTCATGCCTTTTTTTTCTTAGACTTCATTGTGATCTTAGGCTTTTTAAGGTTAGCTGATCACCACTGGCCCATCAAAGCAGTCAAAAGAAAACAAGTTTTATAAGAGAACATTTTATACCCAAGAGTTTTTTGTTTCTGCCACTTGCAACTGCAACTTCTGTCTCCTATATTGTATAGTTGAAGGAAGATTCTGGAATCTGAAGATTCCTATAATATAGCTTACAAAAGTATAAAAATTTCAGACTACAGTTAGAAGTATAGCCTCTAGTTCCCCTTAGAAGTTAGAGCAGAGCTCAGTAAACTTTTTCTGTAAAGGGACAGGTAAGTATTTTTGACGTTTCGAGCCATATAGTTGCAATTACTAGACTATTGTTTTAGTTTTAACAGCCATAGACAATACATAAACAAATGGGCATGACCAGATTTATCCCATGGACCATAATTTGTGAATATCTGAGTTAGTAAGAGACAACAAAATGTATCTACTAGATTGAATATACACATACCAATATTTGACTATTCTTGGAAAGCCTTTTATAATTTTTAATATCTTTTTGTTTTTTAAATCCAGGTGAACAAGGACTTTGGGTCTATTTTTTCTACTCTCTTGCCTGGTGCTAATGCTATGCTTGCACCACCAGAGGGCCAAACTGTATTGGATGGTCTGGAATTCAAGGTTGCTTTAGGAAATACTTGGAAAGAAAACCTAACAGAACTTAGTGGCGGTCAGAGGTGAGTAATCCCTTTTCAGTATTATAATTTCTCATTCCTCTTATTTTATTATAATCCATAATCTAAGCAAAACAAAATTGAAAATTGGTAGGTAATCTTTATATGTAGAATTTAAGGAGCTTAGTATATAAGATTGAAGATTTTTTGGAACATTTGATTAAAATAGTAGGCAACAGGGGCATGTGGGTGGCTCAGTTGAGCATCCCACTCTTTTTTTTTTTTTTTGAGTGTCCCACTCTTGATTTGGGCTTAGGTCATAATCTTGGGGTCATGGGATTGAACTTCACATTGGGCTCCATGCTCAGCAGGGAGTCTACTTGGGATTCTCTCCCCACTTGCATGTGTTCTCTCTCTCTCAAATGACTAAATAAACCTTTAAAGTAGTAGGTAACAAAGGAGAAATAAGGATAAGCAACTAGAAAACTAGATAAGATTTATGAAAAGTAATTATTTTTAGACTTTGGGAAATGAATAGTCCAAGAATATGATACCTGTGAGCAATGAAATAAAAGTTCTCAGCTCAGTGTTTACTCCAGCTTTCTCCATTGGAGAAGTTTCTGGATTATAGGTGCAGAGAGGGGAATGCACACAAAGCCTAGTGGACTCACTAAATTAAAGAAACAAATTAAAATTTGGGAGGCCCCAGAAAGCAACATCTTTGCATTCAGTCTATACTGCCCCCAAAGTGAAGGCTACCTTACACACACACAGCAGAGTTCATTGCAAATCTTTAAGAGAGCAAGCTAATCCTCCTGTAACGTAGTTTTTTCTCAGAACAAAGCCCAGTGCTTTATTTTTTATTTTTATTTTTTTAGTCCAGTGCTTTTAAAGAAAGATACCACAATTTAGATTCTAACATAACACAATGTCTGGCATCTGATTAAAAAATACTGGACAGAAATCAAGAAAGTGTGACTCATTGCCTAGAAAAAAATTATTCCAATGGAAACAGACCCAGAAATGACAGGTGGATAAAAATGGAAGACAAGGAAGTTATAGAATTATGTTAGTTATTTCCAAAAATTACAAGGAAAAAGGAATCTAGTGGAATTTCTAGAGAGAATAAATATGCCTAAAAAAATTCTCCACATGACATTAACAAGTTAGACAATGTAAAAAAAAATTAATGAATTTGAAATTACAGCAAATAGAAACTACTAAAACTAAACTGAGAAAAAACTATAAAACTGAGCTTCAGTGACCTATGGGAAAACATCAAGCCATCTAACATACATGTACTTGGAATTTCAAAAAGGAAAAGGCAAGATAGAAAAATATTTGAAATAATGGCTCCAAATTTTCCCAATTTTGATGAGTTCTGTAAACCCACAGTCTTCGTTTCTGTGACCCTAGGTAAGATAAACATATCCCCCTCCTTCACACACATATGCTAACATAGCAAAGCCATGTTATATGAAATTGTGATTTTATATGCCAGTGATTTTAGAAAAAAAAAAAATTTTAAAGCAGCCAAAAATAGAAAGACATATTATGTGCCAAGGAACAAAGATAAAAAGGACTTCAGGCTTACTGTCAAAAACAGTGCAAGCCAGAAGTCTGGAACAACATCTAGAAAGTGGTAAAAGAAAAAACATGTCAACCAAGAATTCTTTGTCTATTCGAAATACTCTTTAAATTGAAGTCAATATAAATATTTTTTTCAGAAAAGCAAAAGCTGAAGGAGTCTGATCCCAGCAGAACTTTAAAAGTTAAAGGAAGTTTTCAGGCAAAAGGAAAATGATACCAGATGGAAATTTGGATCTACATAAAGGAATGAATAGTGCTGGAAATAGCATGTTCTAGGCTTCAGGGACCTCATGGTGATTAATCGGCACACTTAGGAGGTCATGTGGCCTAAATCCTTACCTGCTGTAGAGAACCAAATAATTAAAACCTACTGAGAGAAAATTGTGAATATTCACATAATTAAAGATGGTTATTAATTTTGCATTTTTCCCCTGCAGGATGTACAGTCCTAGTAGTTAAATTTTTCTCATGTGCCCTATGATGCCATCATGGAACTCTTATGTATGTAGAAAACACCAAGACCTGTTAATTTTCCTTATGAAATCCTTTGTCATTTTTATGATATAATAGTGATCCCCTGATTATAATTCATTATGATAAAATTCCTAAATATTTTAACAGTATAAGACACCTTTCGGTGACTTTTAAAATTGAATTCCATGGTTCAGATCCCAATATCTAACTTTTTTTGCCAAAGCCTTAGAAAATGTTTTGAAGATAACCTAAAATGAATGCTTATATTCTTATTGGAACCTGAAAATTATTTCCATAATTAAGATGATACAAAATTATTTCTAGATATATACCATTATTTTAGATGTATATCCAGCACAGTATAACTCTTGGTGAAAGATTTTTTTTCCTGAAAGGTTGAGAGAAAGTTCAGTGCTGTAAACATTTGGCACAGAGAGAGCCAATGAAAAATAATTTTAGGATGCTTGAATAACCTCCACTTCCCTCTATAGAGGTAGATATCAGTTTCACCATTGTTTATTGCACTGTTTTTTACATGCCCTTGCTAGAAAGTTTGGTTTCTCTATTTAAAAAAAAAAAAAAAAAAAAAAAAAAAAAAGCTTTTTTAAATAAAACGTTTAAGAAAAAAAATGTAAGAATTATTATATGATTCTTCATACCAAATTAGAACAAAACCAGATACAGTTACAGGGGATGGCTAGCTAAAAGAGAACTGAAAGAAGGAGCTCTAAAATCTGGGGTGTCTAACTCAGCTTTTAAATAAGGTGTATTAGGGTTCTCCAGAGAAACAGAACCAGTGGGCGGGGGGTGTATGTTTGTGTATGTATGTGAAAAGATCATTTTTTAATACAGAACTGGCTCATCTTACTGTGTGGGCTGAGAAGTTCCACAGTTTGTAGGTTGGAAATTCAGGGGGACTAGTGGTGTAATTCAATGTGGGTCTGAAGGCCTGAGCATCAGGAGCATGGAGACCAAATATCCATGTCCCAGCTCAAGTAACAAGGCAGGAAAGAACAAATTGTTTCCTCTACCTTTCTTACTGTTAAGGCCTTCAGCAAGTTGTAGGATATCGGATATCTACCCACGCTGGAGAGTGCAAAGTGCTTTACTGAGTCTTCCAATTCAAATCCAAATTTCACCCAGAAATGCCCTCAGAGACAAACCCAGAAATAAAGTGTAGCCAAATATTTGAATACTCCGTGATCCAGTTAAGTTGACACACAAAATTAACCACATAATAATTGTTTGAACTTCTGACATTGGGAAGTAATGGGTCATAGTCGATACAGCTTACTCTTAAATGGTACCAGTACAAAAAGTGGGTATTTGTGTGTGTCTGTATACTCATAAGTGCATGCATAGTAAAAGTTTGAAAGAGGGCACCTAAACCTGTTATACTATCACCAAGACAGTAGCTATTGTCTTTACAGGTAAGTATATAGCCCTCAGTCACCTGCTACCTAAATAGCAATTGGGGAAGGAAAGAAAGCACCTGACATGATCTTTCCTTAAGGATAAATACCAATCATCCTGATTATTTGATTGGAAAGAAGAATATAAACCTGGTCTGTTAAAACTCATTTAAGAGAAAATAGGAGAATCTAAATTAAAAGATACATTTTAATACAATAAAAGTGTTGAAGTTTGAAATTTAAGATTCTTTATTTCTATAGTGATTTTCAGCTAAATTGCATTACCCATAATAAGAAGATAGCAGATTTGCTTTAGTGTTTTGGTAAAGAGTGGTAAAATCAAGTTTTGGTGACTTCTCTTCTGATCTTTTCATAGGTCGTTAGTAGCTTTGTCATTAATATTGTCCATGCTCCTCTTCAAACCTGCGCCAATTTATATCCTGGATGAGGTAGATGCAGCCTTGGACCTTTCTCACACCCAGAATATTGGACAGATGCTGCGTACTCATTTCACACATTCTCAGGTAAGAACCAGAAAAAATGTCTCCATGATAGTATTAAGTATAGTATTTGTTTTCTAAAACTATTCTTTAGTAATGGCCAATACTAAGATATTTAGGATTGAAGAATATTAAAGTATTATGTATCTCTTTAAATATACAGTGAATATTTAGACAAACTTACATTCAAATGGATAGAGAAGGGGGAAAAAAGGTTGGTTTCCTATTAAAGAAAGATCCAGACATTACCATTGTTGGTTGTACGATGAGGGAGAATCGAAGTTTTTCATAATTTGGAATTAATTTATGGTTGACATAATTAATTTATTATGTTCTCTAGCTAGCTGCCAGAGGATACACAATCTAAGTAAGAAATCAGAAAATCATAGGGTACTTGATGGGGTACTCATCATTTTTCCTGGGTAGGAAATAAAAGCCCAAAGCCCTTTTTAAGAACAGTTTGTTTTTATTGAACTGTTGCTGTAGGAACTGGGGCTCCCAAATGTGGTTGTGTAGATCATGCAGAATCCAACGCTGGGAGCTTCATTTTTCATAGTTCTCACAGACTGTGTTTATTAGCAGGTAACAGTGAAATGGTACCTTTTCTTAATTCTGTAAATGTTCCATTTGAGCTAGTGGTAGTGCTTACAGGAACTTGTAGCCTTCTCTGATATTTTTAAAATATCACAGGGAAAGCTATTTCACCAGGGCATTTAGCACTTGTAGCAACAAAACAGTGATGCCAGCTGCAGAGGGCAGCAACAAGCAGTCAACTGGCAGGAAATAGTAAACTTGGTTAATGAAGCACTCAAGGTAAAAGAGACTCCTAATACCCAAATATAGAAAGCTAGAATCCATATAGGTGCCCAATATTAGAACTGTTATTTGGATTTAAGCATGTGCATTTGCTTTGAACCAAGCTTTGAAAGAAATAATCAGAATACCTTTAGACAGTTCTTAACCCCAGAATAAAAATAGTGCATTTCTTCAGATTACAAAAAATAGCGTTTATGCTTTTTTTTTTTTCTTTTTCCCTTAAGTTCATTGTCGTGTCACTAAAGGAGGGTATGTTCAACAATGCAAATGTCCTTTTCAAAACCAAGTTTGTGGATGGTGTTTCTACAGTAGCCAGATTTACTCAGTGTCAAAATGGAAAGATTCCGAAGGAAACCACATCCAAGGCAAAAGGACCCAAATGATCACATCTGGAAGTTAAAAGTACAGATTTACTCCTTCACCTTGACCGTTTTTTTTAAACATAAAGAACTTGGGCTTATTTATGTAAAAATGTAATGTTTTGTTACTTAACCCATATTTTCTCTTCCTTTATATAATCACTTCTAAATGAGTATAGATTCCCCTTTTCTCAATTAATGTAACTGTGGTCCAATTACTGTGATTGTGATTTTATGCACGTCCTCAAAATGCTTTTTCTTACACAATTCTTTTATATATGTTGGGGAGCCTGAGGTACCTGGTTGGTGGTAGATTCTGTTTGCAAAAATACAAAGAAACAGATGAAATTAAATTAATTAATAAATATAGCTGATATATAGGATAAATATAGCTGATAGTCAGCTTTTAATTAGTTTAATTCCTAAGGTGATATTAGTGTGTTTTCTGTTAAGAAAGTCATTTAGGTAAGGAAGACTTAGAAAGTGAGCATCTGGACCAACAAAGGGAACACAAAGGAAGCTGTTAGGCATTCCCTGAGCTATTTGTGGTTAGTTCTGTGAAGATACAGTGCCAGAGCCCGGATTTAGACTCAGTCATGTTTGGATATCATGTTTCTTTATGCTTTGTAATTGGTCTGTGCAATCTGAAGGTTTTAAAAAGTATTTATAGATTTTTAATAGCCTAGGAGAAGGTGTGGTGCATGCTGCTGTCCACATTTATCTGAAGTCTCTTCATGTTTTCAGAGACTTTTGTCAGCCTTTTCATAATCCAGTCAGTAACAATCTATTAGTGAATGAGAATGTGAGAGTGAACAGACTAAACCACATTTTTCTTTGAATCAGATACATAACTAGATCCATCTATTTTACCAAAAGAACTCAAAAGAAGCACTGCCAACTGCTAAAAGATTACTGTGTGTAATTCCTATTATTTCTAAGTACATCACCAGAATAGTGTCTCCAAATTTTGAATCTTAAAAGCCCTCACATGACCTAACCTGTCTGATCTTGAGTTTGTTATTTGGGCCCCACATCCCTTCTTAATCCTTAAGTCTTAGTTCCTTTATATTATCCTTTCCCTAATATATGCTTATAGTTCTTGGCTTTAAGATTTCTTATCCTTCATTCTGATACATATCTGAGGATGTCAGATAACATCCAGATTAACTGATAAAATGGGGCATATCAGAAAGGATTGAATCTGGAATTAGTTCATGCCTGCTGTGGGAGGAGAGGGAGACAAAGCTGTAAATGTTGAATTACAGGAAGTATAATATCACATATATAAGAGGCAGGCATGCGTTTTTTATTTCATTTCAAATGCATTGCAAATTGTTTGCCAGGACAGCTCAGTCAGTTCACACTTTGATAAAGTCGTATACCTATTGACCACAACCTAGTCAGCACTGGCTGTAATTTTTCCTTCTGATTTGCTAGTTGTAAATGGCACTTCATTGCTGTTTTAACTAGCACTTTATAAATAACTTGTGAGCTTGAGTATTTTGCCAAATGAATTCATTTTCTTTACTACAAATTATCTACTTGTTCCCCTAATTTGTCATATAATCTCACTCTTTGATGAGAATGCTCAAACATATTAAATTTTTTGAGTCATGTTGTTCGTATTCTTTGATTGGAAGAAATGAAGGGGAAATGGGCACATTTATTTCATACATGTGCAGTAATAGGAGTAATATTTATTACTAAGCTCTTTTATACATGAGATGCTATTCCCATTTGCACATGTTTTCACATTTGAGGTAAGTACTTTTGATCAGCATCATATATTTGAAGAAATTGAATTGAGCAGAAAAGTTAAGGAACTTGTCTTTAGTGACCATACAGTTAATAGAGAGGCAGAGCCAGGATACCAATCTTGGCAGTTGGTCTCCAGAATCTATGATACATTACCCTTCTGACAGTTTGAACATTTGTATTTATTGTACATAATAAATTTAAGACATACCTGGATGAGCAGTATGCACAATGTGAGAAAATTATTTTTAGGAAGAATGTCAAACATTTGCAAAGGATTCCTCCCCTTTTTGCGGGGGCATTTCAGGTACACTAAGAAGGCAAAAGCAAAACCTTGAGAAACCTCTTCCAATATGGTAAAGTAATCAAATAGGCCGACTACTCCCACAATCATGTAATCTGCAAATCAGGGCAGGTTTTCTTCCCTTTGGATCTGTGTGTCTTTTATTCCCCCCCCCCCTTTTTTTTTTAAACTACACTGGCTTGAAATTCTAGCATTGTGTTATATAAGATTACTAATGAGAGCTTGCATATTTGCCTTTTCCCCAGAATTCCGAGGAAAGCATTCAGTCTTTCACCAGCTAGGTATTGTGTTAGCTATAGGCTTTTAGTATATATTCTTTATCAAAGTAAAGAAGTTTCCTTCCATTCCTACTTTGATCAGTTTTATCATGTATGGGTTATTGAATTTTGTTCATTGCTTTGTCTGCATTGATTGATATCATGTAACTTCCTTAACCTGTTAATATTATGAATTACATTGCTTAATTTTTTAATATTAAACCAGCCTGGTATTCCTAGATTAAACCCCATATGATCATGTCTATAATTCTTTTTATGTACAGACACACTTCGTTTTATTATGCTTCATGGATAACTATCTTTTTTTTCCCCTTTAAACAAATTGAAGGTTTGTGGCAACGTTGCAGCAAGCAAGTCTTCCAGCACCATTTTTTTCCAACAGCATTTGTTCTGAGTCTGTCACAGTTTGGTAATTTTTACAATAGGTTCAAACTGTTTCATTATTGTTATGATGATCTGTGATGAGCTCACTGAAAGCTCAGATAGATGATGGTTAGCATTTTTTAGCAATAAGGTATTTTTTAAGGTATATACTTTCTTTTAGACGTAATGCAGTCACATACATAATAGACTACAGTATAAATATAACTTTTATATGCACTGGAAAACCCAAAATTTTGCTTTATGATACTTGAATACCAGAAATATCTCCAGGGTATGCCTATTACAAGATTCTGTTTGCTAATACTTTGGTCATGGATTTTGGTTTTTGTTTTTTTTCTACTGGCTTTGTTTGGTTTTGAGGTAATACTAGCTTTATAAAAATGGGAAATGTTCCTTCTATTTTTTGTAGGATTATATAGAATTTATTAGTCCTTCTTTGAATACTAGAATTCTCCTGTGAAACTGTCTGGCCCTGGAGATTAGGAGGGTAGGATGGGGAGAATGTAAAGTACACACAATTTCTTCAATAGTTATGGGACCATTTAAATTATCTGTTTTATAATGGGTGACTTGTGATAGTTTCTATTTTTTTTTTTTTTTGTGGAATTGTTCTAGTTCATCTATATTGTCAAATTTGTCATTTGTGTGTAATACATCTAGAAGAAAACAAAATCTCTGTGACCTTATAGGGAAAGAACACACACACACATACACAAAAACAAATAAAAAAAGGAACATTAAAATTTTAAAAATATCTTCAAAAGACTCTTAAGAAAATGAAAAGACAAAGCACAGAAGTTATTTGCAATGTGCAGAACTGATAGAATTATGTGCAGACTGAAAAGAATTTGCAACTCCCATGCTAACATTTGCATGAAGGGTGGGTGAAACTGCTGTCACCGTAGCATAAACCAAGGTAGAGCAGCATAGTGTATTAGCAATACTGATTGAATTTTTTAATGACAAGCTCACTTTTAAAGAATGTCTTGATGAAGCTGTAAAAGTTAATTTTTTATCCCATCCTCCGTCTTTCATAATCTGATAAAATGGGAATTCTATAAAAAGCATTTCTGCATACCAAAACATGGTTATTTTACAGAAATGCAGTTCTTTCAGTCTGAAGTAACTGCTTCTTTTTTACTTGAATAGATGACTAAGACAAACTATGGTTATAAGTCTATAGTATTTGGTAGACATTTCCTAAAAATGAACAAAGAGAGCCTGTCCTATTAACCTGACATTTGTTGCAAAGAATAAAACTGTAGCTTTCAAATGAAAATTAGAATTTTGACAAACTTGTATTTATTTGTCATTGTGAGCTGGACACTTTCTCAGGACATCGTCTCAATAAAGACTTTTCTGATTATACTGGTGGTAATATTAAACAATTTTTTATATTATGAAATGTTTATTTTGAAGATTTGCATAACTCAATAAATGGTATTTTCCCATGACCAATGTATGGTGCTACAAAATCCTGCATAGGTGTAAAATAGCCCTTTTAAGTACAAGAAACACTAATTTTAATGTTACAGAGTACAATAATTTTATTGATAGGGTTTCAGATTCCACATGGCAACAAACTCTTAAGAATCACTTGTTGCATTGTGTTTAGTGCCAAGAAAGAATATCTACATTATCTAAAACTCCCTTTCCAACTATATATTTATTCTCAACTCTAGATATGAATTTTGAATAATTTGTCCAAAGTTACACAGCTAGAACGTGAGGAGTGGGAGACAGGAGCCAGGATTTAAACTAAGACTGTCTAGCTGAAGACCCCGTACTCTAAGCCATAATAACATAACAAACTAGGAGTTGGGTATACTCTTGTGTTTGTGCCTGGTACTAACATTCCCATTCTGCCTTGCATTGACAAAATTCTCTTGTTTCTTGCCATGCATGGGTAGGAACAAGAAGAGCTACATTTAAATCCATTGTAGAGAACAAAGATTGCAGTTTAATCCTAAAGCTGATGCCACTGGTCATTTTATACAAATCCAGAGAGATTCTGTGGCTACTATTATTCCTTATTTGTATGACAGATTAGTAGGCATAAACTGCCTCCTTTCTAGCCACCAGTTAAGGACCAGAGTTTTCTTTGATGGGTTGATGCTTTACATATTACCCAAGACAACTTTTCTTAGTGGTTTGTAGGATGGGCTCTGTTACTTGATGGTCATAAGCTTCTTCTAATGTTTACCTCAAAACTCATTGCTCCTTTCTGCATATTATTCCTTGTTTACATTACTACTCTAACAGTTTGGACTTCTAAGCCCCTAATGCCTACTTTATGGAGTTCCAACCTATCCTAAACTGCTTTTGTGAACCCCACATGCCACACAATCTACAGTCGTTGTCACTCGTGAACACAGTGTGCTGCTTTGTCTGTTTTTGCTCATGCTTTTCATGTGGAACATTCTATACCATTCCTATCAATAGCATATCCATCTTTCAAGGTTCTATTAAAAAAATACCTCTGGATCATTCTCTATTCCCATCCCCCTTTCATAAGGCATTAAAAAATACTGCCTATTAGTAACTGAACACGTCCTAGTTGTAGTAGATTGTAAACTGCTAAGTGCAACTCTAGAGTCCATAACCTATTAATTGACTTGGTCTCCAAGATTTCCTTAATGAAAGAGTATAAGAACTCATAAAAGTTAAGATGAAATAGCCCATGGTATTTAGCTCATGTACCACACTATGGATTAGCAAACTGACTCAAATGAGATTGTTTGACCCATATTCACTATGAAAAGTTACTATTAGGGTTTTAACATATGTAAAACATAACATATGTAATGTATTCTCACAGTAAAATTTTAAAAGCATAGATTTCATGCTAGAGACTTTTCCTCCAAAGAATTAAAAGAATCTATATTATTAGCCCTTTTATGTTTTGTTACTTCCAGTTCTATTTTTTGTAGGTGTGCAGTTTATAAATTCTCTAAACTATTGTGTTCCAAAGTCGAAAGGTTTTTATTTCACATCCATCAGCTTTCATGAAAAATTGAAGATGACACAAAGGAAATGTTCCATGCTTATGAATTGGAAGGATTAATATGTTAAAATGTCCATACTACCCAAAGCAATCTACAGATTCGGTGCAATTCCTATCATACCAACATCATTTTTCACAGAACTAGAACAAATGATACTAAAATGTATATGGAACCACAAAATAGCCAAGGCAATCTTAAAGCATAAAGCTCGAGGTATCACAATCCCCAGTATCAAGATATACCACAGAGCTGTTGTAATCAAATAAGTGTGGGACTGTTAAAAAGCAGTCCCACAGGTCAATGGAATAGGATAAAGGGCTCAAAAATAAAACTCCTGCTTGTCTAGTCATTAATCTGCCACAAAGGAGGCAAGAATATACAAAACTTTAAATCCCTTACTAGTTTAGATCTAGAAGTTTGCATTTGTGCTAATTACTTTGGATTAAAGATTGAAGGCATATTAATTTGAAGAAGAGGAAACAATATCTAAAAAAATGTTTGTCCTGAGATTGCTTCCAGCTTAGCCTTAGGTAGCAGGTTAAACACACCCTGATTACCTCCGCTTTGGGGAACCAAAAAGAACATGAGTTAATTTACTGCTATAAATAATTCCAATACCTTAAGCTTTATTTTCCACTGCCTCTCTCATTATTTCTATGAGGGCTAAGTGGACCAAAAATGCACTGTGCTGCTCACCTATGGCCCATGCTATTCCGTGGTTGCTGCTGAAAAATTTAGACGGCAAAATAGATTGAGTATAAAGAGAAAAGGAGACAACAAGCATACAGTGCCTGCACTCAGTTTCATCTATGACCTGATTTTAACAGCTCAGCAGAGCTGCCATTATCATTCTCACAGATGAGAAAACAGGCTCAGAGAAGTTACTTTTCCTTGCTCAGTTAAGGTGCAGCCAATCAGAATGTGGTTCTCTTTCATTCCAAAGTTCATGATCTTCCAACTACACAATTGTTTCCAACACATTATTTAGTAATGTAAAAACTATTTAAAGGGGAAATCTTTTCATGGGAGATTTAAATATGTATGAGAATAAACTTTGAAATGAACTCCTTTTGCCTCCATCTCATAAAACTAAAATAACAAAAAAATACAAAATAAGTACAAACCACCACAGAAACAAAAGTTTAACTTAGCATTTAATCTAATGTGGATGAAGGGTGAAATAAACTTGTTGCTTAGATTGAGACTAGGATGCTATCTGTTGCAAATTCTTTTAATTTTGGCATATTAGTGTGAGGCATGACTAATTTTTCCCACCACTGCCTTCACTGTGCACCACACTAAAACCTTGTAAGTGTGCCATAATGGCATTTGGTGATCACCTACCTGGAATACACCATGTGCATATTAAGAATAACTTCTTCCCTCAGGCAAGGGAAACAAAAGCAAAAATAATTGAGACAACACCAAAATAGAAGGCTTTTGCACAGCGAATGAAACCATCAGCAAAACAAAAACGCAATCTACTGAGTGGGAGAAGATATTTGCAAATGATACATCCAATAAGTGGTTAACATCCAAAATGTATAAGGAACCTAGGCAATTCGACACCAAAAAACCAAAAATAACAATCTTCTTAAAAAATGGGCAGAGTACCTGAATAGACAGTTTTTCAAAGAAGACCTACAGATAGCCAACAGACACATAAAAAGATGCTCAACATTACTCATCATCAGGGAGATACAAACCAAAAAGAATGAGATCATCTCAACTCCTGTCAGAATGACTAATATCAAAAAAATAAAGTGTCCATAACAATGTGGAGAAAAAGGAAACCCTGTGCACTGTTGGTGGAATGTAGATTGGTGAAGCCACTGTGGAAAATAGCATGAAGCTTCCTCAAAGAACTAAAAATAGAATTACTGTATGATCCAGCATCCCACTACTCGGCATTTACTCAAAGAAAACAAAAGCACTAATTCAAAAAGATAGATGGATTCAGTTACTACTATTATTATGGAATTTGTTTGATGCCTTGTGAAAAGAGGATATGAATTGAGAAGAATCCATACACACGGTGTTTTTTGAATAGAACCTTGAAGAATGGGTATGCTGTTGATAGGAATGTGATAGAGTGATGGCTCCACACTGGGAAAAGCATGAGCAAAACAGACCGGAAGCAAAAGGTGACACCATTCCAGAGTCAGATGCTGTTCCTGTTGGTGGGAAAGTAAATTGGTGCAGGAACGAAGGAAAACATAGTTTGGAGGTCCCTCAAAAAAAAAAAAAAAAATTAAAAGAACTGCCATATGATCATACTTGTGGGTATTTATCTGAAGAAAACAAAAATAAAATTGAAAAGATACCTACACCCCCATGCTCACTGCAGGTTTATTTATAATATCCAAAATATGAAAAGAGCCTATGCATCTATCAGTGGGTGAATGGATAAAGAAAATACGGTGTATATATTATATATGCAGTGGAATATTATGTGGCCATAAAAAAGGAAACTTTGCTGTTTGTGACAATATGGCTCGAGTTTGAGGGCATTTTGCAAGGTGAAATAAGTCAGAGAAAGAAAAATATTGTATGATCTCATTTATATGTGGAATGTAAAATAAACCAACAAAAACCTCCAAGCTCATAGATACAGAGAACAGATTGATGGTTGCCAGAGGCAGGGAGTATGCAAAATGGGTGGAGGAGGTCAAAAGGTACAAATATCTAGTCATGGGGATGTACAGCATGGTGACTCTAGTTAGCAATACTGTATTGTATATTTGAAAGTTCCTAACAGATATCTTAAAAGTTCCCATCACAAGAAAAGAATTTCCAACAACATATGGTGATGGATGTTAACTTACTGTGGTGATCATTTTGCAATATAGACAAATATTGAATCATTATGTTGCGTATACCAGAAACTAATACAATGTTATAAGTCAGTAAAAGACAATGAAGCTGGAAAAGTAGTCCAGGACCTGACTGAGAAAATTATTTGACTTTAGGCTCTTAACAAGTCTGATGTGAATGGAAAATTGATGCTAAAAAATCTAATCAGAAATCAGGAAAATAAAAATTGAAACTACCTCCTAAAATATGAAAGGAAAATGGTAAGGGACGCCTGGATGGCTCAGTTGGTTAAGCATCCAACTCTTGGTTTCAGCTCAAGTCATGATCTTAGGATCCTGGGATCAAGCCCCACATTGGGCTCTGAGCTCAGCACGGAGTCTGCTAGAGATTGTCTCCCTCTGCTCCTCCCCCGCTCACGCTCTCTCCAAGATAGATAAAATCTTCTTAAAAAATAAATTTAATTTTTTAAATGGTCAAACAGGAGAAAAACAATGTGACAAAAATCATTAATATGTGGATATGGACCCAAGATCCAACCTTGAAAATTTA